TGATTCACCTAACTGTTGAGAAATTGCTTTTCCAATAGAACTGTCAGCTGGTGTCCTAATAAGAGTTGGCTGTTTATCTCTCCCTTTAATATGAATATCAATATAGAAGTATGAATATCCTCTGAAAGTATGGAGTGCATAATGTGTAACTATAAATTCATCATCTAACTGAAGAACATTGTAAGCAACTCTATACAAGGAGGGTTTCAGATCTGTATTCTCTTTGATAAATATATGTCTAGTTTCATCAAGTGTGATATTGTCTATTGCTGTTGTTAGTACATTGATCTTTTCCTCATCTGCAGAATATTCAACCTCTGACATTTCTGATAGACATATCTTACTCTTTGCTTGTTTGCTGTCTATCCAACCAATGTGCATTCCTTTGTAGTTAACTAGTCCCATCTCTTCAAAAGTGTGATACTGCTTAGTTGTAGGATAAGTTGACCAGAAGGAGTTTCTCTGACTTGGAACAATAGTTATGTTCTCATCAACTCTTCTAAGAACTTTTTCTGTTTCAAGACCACTTTCTAGTGAATCATATATTTGATAAAGTGTAGGTCTATTGTTGAATGAGAGATTAGCAACAACTACCATTGGATCATCATTCTTGTTTAGCTTCTTAATAATTCCTTGCTTCTTTGATGTGATAGAGTTAAACCAATGACAATATACTAGAGTATGCTGTTGTCTCACATAAATACAAACAGTATAACAACTACTAACTTTATCAACAAGTGCCATCCACTGTTTTTCATAAGAAGTTGCAAATGTTCTGCATTCATTCATGAACTGAACTGTGTTAAGAAGCAAGTTGCTATTCCATTCAAATGTTTGCATCTGAGAAGAATGTACAGTTAGTTCTATCCTAGTCAAACCAGAGTTTCTGCAAGCATATAATGTTTCTCCAAAGTTGTGCAAAGTTGGCATTATAAATTCAGAAAGTTTTGAACTAAGAGGATTACGAACTTCACCACTCTCAAGAAGCTGAATAAACTTGTTGTAAATTTTGTTCTTAACTTTAACATCTCCTTTCTTTGTAAACCAGCTAATACAGTTAGAGCCAGACTTGCGTAAATCATCAACAATATCTTTCTTTTCAACTCCTCTTTCTAAAAGGTATTTATATATAATATTTCTAGATGAGATATTCATGCAATCCATTGTGATGTCATAATTCTGTAGATATATTTTGTGATCAGCCATAGTAGCAAACTTCACTGTTAGCAAAGAACTAGCTATTGCAATATTTGGTGTAGATACTTTGTAAATAGCAACTGGTCCATATTGCTCACTAATCTTACTTCTAACATACTTATAACCAAAACCTTCTCCAAATACTTTATGCAATCTAACACTAGCTGACTTCTGCTTCACCTTTATATCTGATTCACTGCATTTCTCAACAACCTCAACAATAAATGAGTCAACAAATATTTCAGAAGAATGCTCAAATCCAAGTTGCTCTACACCTCTAGCAGTATACCTAGCATCAGCAACATCAGGCATATTTCTTCTTTCTGACAGCACTCTTGTTAGTAATGCTCTTAGTTCACTTTGGAAGGGGGTCATTCCTGGACTTGTAAATTTTAGTTATTTGCAATTTTGTTAGATAGATATTTGATTAATCGTTTTCAGAACCATTTTTTGCTATTAGATATTTTTAGAACAGATAATTATTATTGTTGTGTCCAGAATGTTTTTATGTGTATAATTGATTTTAAAAATACAAATATTTTTTTTGCCATTTCACCCAAACTGCCATCGGCATCTTGGAAAAGTTTCAGTGAACATAATTTCAACCAGAAAGAAAAACCTTTGCATATTTGGGGTTAATTATCATTGGGCAACAAAAGTCAATATCTCAATAGATGTGGCTAAGCAACCACAAGGAAATTATGTTCACTGAAACTTTTCCAAGATGCCGATGGCAGTTTGGGTGAAATTTTTATTTCACTGAAATTGCCAATAGTTTCAACATGTATAAATAGTTGTTATGCAGATAACTAGCTCTGAATGACCTTCATGTGTAAGCAGTAGTATTTGGGCCACAATGGACCCAGTCTGTATAGACTGATTCAAGAGACTGTATGAGTGCTAAAGGCCTCAAGAACCATGCAAGCCAGATAATTTTTAATAAAAAGTTCTTAATGCTATGCATACGCAATAAAGCAAAACTGAACAGCATCATTTCTCTTCTTACTTTGCCTATTGAATTTCTCAAATGAATATTACCCGCAGCACTACTGTCATAAAGACATCGCTTGGTGGTATTGGCTTCCGTGATTCTATGTTGCCCTGCCTAGAGCAATTTGTACATAGTGTCAATATCATCAAAGAGCATACATACATGCTTGCACGATGGATACTACTCCATCAGCTAGCTTACGATGATGCCTTTGACCCAGCAACATTTGTGAAAAAGGGGTTTTTTCGTTTTATTTATTTATTCATTTATCGCAACTTGAAGGCGAAGACTGTCATATCTGCCGAGGATTTCGTTAACCGGAAGGACAGGTCAGAACTGTTAACCGCCGATTTCAGTGATGTAGTTAGATATCACATTTATGATTATCTATTGCATAATGGCGATATTGAGCTACATGGCGTATGCGAAATGAATCAGGTAGCGACATACGTGGATACCGAGCTGATGACAACATACAAGAACAACATTGTGTTGCACTATGGCACTTGCCTACAGCGGATTCTGGCCAAATTGATTGATATTCGCTGCCGCAAAAACACACTGCGCAGTACAATGGGCAATGTGTCTAAGGCTGAGTTCAATAATGCATGTCAAATGTGTATTTATACACCTGCACAGAAGCTCCGCCAGGCAGTTGCCTCTAGGCACCCTGATCTCAGTGTGCTCACCCCACCGATGCTTGCAATCTACAACAAGCTGGCACCAGTCCTCAATGCCTATGATGCCAAGTACAGATTCACCAAAGACAGCCGATACTATGATGCCAAGGCAAATCCACTTAAGCATCTGCGTGCATACATTCGCCTATGCCAGCTTATCGAGAATGAGCAGCTTAGCAAGTCTCCTCCCCAATGCTTGCCTCTGCGGACATCATGGATCCCAGGCCATGTGCGTTTGGACAAGCAAATAATCAAGCAGGTGTTTGTTTCGAAAACACGTGAGGAGGTTACCAAGATCAACGCAGCAAAGAGGGCAGCAACAGAGGCAAGGAAAGCAGCAGAAAAGGGCGAAAAATTGGCCAAGAAGGCTGCACGCGAAGCAGCGAAGATGCCATCGGATGCAACAGAGGCCACTGCAGCAACTGCAGCAGTAGCGGCTGATTCACTTGCTGCTGCATCGGCAGCAGCAGCAGACACTGTTGCAGCACTTAACAATGCATATGCATCAGCACCCCCAGTCTGTGCACACGACCCGGTCCAAGGGATCACACAACCTGTGTGGGATGTGTGGGGCCGGGTCGCAGATCTAACATCAAAGCCATTTAAGGCGCATGGTGATAGAAAATTCCACGGAATGGCGACAACAGATGGTGTAACGATATGCATTCTGTTACAAGACAAGATATCCAAGGCTGATGGTGCAGTAGATGCTGATGGTGCAGGAGGCGATGCTGCGGGAGGCGATGCTGCGGGAGGCAATTCTGTGGGAGGCGATGCTGCGGGAGGCAATTCTGTGGGAGGCGATGCTACAGGCGATGCTGTGGGAGGCGATGCTACAGGCGATGCTACAGGCGATGTTGCAGGAGGTGATGCTGTGGGAGGCAGTACTATAGCTGACTGTCGCTATATCCACCAGATCCCACAGCCAGAGCTGCAGAATCTGAAAGGCCGCTGTGTATTCATCGATCCAGGTCGGGGCGATTTGCTATACATGATGCACGAAAATAGCAGCAATGGGAAAGAGGGTGAAAAAATGCTCTACCGCTACACACGGCAGCAGCGCAATAAGGAGCTCAAGCTGCGCCACTATGACAGGATTCGTCAGGCTACAAAGGATCAAGTCCCAGAAGATGCTGTCCGCAGAGCAGAGGCACAGCTTTCCAAGCACTGCTGCCGGACCCTTAGCCCAGCAAAATTCCGTGCCTACGTTGCTACCTGTGCATCTGTGCGGTGTGTCCTAGCACCGTTTTATGCCAACACGATGACAGCGCGAAGGCTACTAGAGCAGCAGCCCACTAAGTCAAACAAGCAGCATCAGAGGCGCTGGAAGGCCCATCCGGGTGTCAGTACCAGTCCCAAGGTGTACCCGCTTCATCGCAAGCTGCGCCTTGATTCATTCATGAACCAGGCCCATGCAGACCACAGGCTTGCCGCGAAACTCCGGAGCAAGTTCGGTCCAGACCCAGTGCTGATCATGGGCAATTGGAGTGCGCCGATGGCCCGACACCATGCGCCGATTCGTGGCAAGGGATGGCGCGACAAGTTCAAACACCATGGCTTTGAGGTCTATCTGATCGACGAATTCCGGACATCGTCGATATGCCCGTTCTGCTGCGAAAAGTCGCTGCAGACATTCCGGCATGTTCCCAGCCCGCGGCCCTACCAGAGATCGAAGAACCCAACTGTGAAGTGCCATGGCCTTCTCCGCTGTACAAGCGAGTCATGTAAGCGGGCCATGGCACAATACAGGCGAGCCTATTCGTCTCGGCTCTTGAACCGCGACCTCGCAGCAGTTCTAAACTTCAGGCTCATTTTCCAGTCACTCTGTGATTCAGGCAGTATTCCTGAACGGTTCCATCGCTTTACAGCCATTGCTGCCGATACTTCTGGCACCACCCCTGCAACAAAGAACCTGCGCAAGACGAGTGCAGCAGCAGGCGATTCTGTTGCCAGCAGCAGCGAGCCAGCGCTGAAGCGCCTACGCTGAGCAGGCCATCAAGATGGGAGATGTCCATGATCGACATTGCACCAACAACCATCCGACACGTTCAAATGACCGGTTCGCCGTGATGCTCTTATCGACGTGTCAACCCATGCTGACTAGCAGCCGAGCTCGCATCGCGAGCAGAGTATTTCTAGTAGGAAATGATATTTAATGTAATATCTGACAAGTGCTTTCAGTTCTTGAGCAGGTTTGCGATCTCGTCGTCGTCATCGTCATCCTCGACGATGTTGAAATCCATGTCTGACAGATCCTTGGCGGTGGCATTGTTCCCCGCATCTGCATGACCTGCCGCATGCCTGTCACCTGCATCCAAGCTGCGCTTGAGATCACCTGCATTGTCTGTCTCAGCGCCATGATCGTCATCCTCCTCGTTGATTTGGCCCAGCAGCTCGTCGACTTCGTCCAGCAGGTTCTCGTACGGGTCCAGGGGCTCGTTGCCGCGCGGCTCCTGCGGTACATTGCCCCAGGGCACGGACTCGAACCGGCCGTCAGCAGGCCCTGCCGAGCTGGGCTCTGCATCGTGGCCCGCAATCCGACATGCGGACCATCTCGGTGGCGATATGCTCCGACGGCTCTCTGTGCGGCTCCGGCGTGGCTGCTGTTGCCCAGCACAGAGCTGCTGGCCAGGCCCGGGGATACTGCAAGCCCTGGCGTCAGCACGTGCTGGTCGACAAACTGCCCGCCCAACGCAATGGTCTGCGCAACCCTCGACGACATTCCCTGGGCGGCAGAAATCCCGCCAGCCAGGAGCCTGGACGGCGTCGATGGGTCGGCGCGGGCCGTCACGGGCGTCGCTGCTAGGTGCGTCGAGATCTGACGCAGCGGGTTGCGCAATTCGACACCGTCGGTGAAGCGGAACGAAGCCGGGACGATCTCCGAAAAGAACCGCTCCAACATCTCGTCCTCCAGCACCACCACGCGGAACATATTGCGCGACAAATACATCTCGCCATCCTGCATCGACTGGTCTTCGCCATAGGCCACTGCCCGCCGCATGAACTCCGACACGGACTTTAGCAGGTGCTCCTCGTTAGTCATGCCGTTAGCGTCGCTGGGCCGCTTGCCGCCCAGGGTTTCGGTGCGCGCCACGTCCTCGCCATGCGCTATGTACAGGATGGCCTCGGACAGCTGGAACATCTCCTGCCGGCTGATCTCGTTTGTAATGGACACTGCAAACATGTCGAAGAACGCGTCCATGCGCGTCAGCAGGTCGGTGTTGACAATACGGCCTAATGCGATCACACACTGCTGGAACGACACACGGAGCTCCTGGATCGGTGCCACGGGGGCTGGCTGATACGGGCTTCGGCTTCGCTCGGTTCAGAAGTCTCTTTGGGCTCCTCAGCCGCCGGCACCTCCCCCTCATCGGCAATCTGCTGTTTCTGGGAGGCATCCATGGAAATCAGATCCACGGATTTGGTCGCCCGGTGCGACGATGGCGCCAGCGACGAGCCATCGTTAATATCGTCTGTACCATATGCATGCAGGCGGGACGACGGCGGTGCAATCTGGCTGGTGTACCTGAAGAACGACGAAATGAACCACCCGGGGTTGCTCAAACTCGCCTCAATCTCTTTCGAGATCTCGTCGCCCCTCTTCGCCGCCTGCTCCTCGTTGGGACTGTGCTTTCTGCGTACACTGGGCAGCGAAATGTCCCTGTGGCTCTGGGTGCGCTGCTTGGCCTCCTTGATCTGTGCCCGCATCCAGGTCGAGATTTCAAACATAAACCGGGCAAACACGTAGATATCCAGGGTGATTTTGTCAGCCGCCGCCGCCGCCTCGGCCTGCTGCTGGTTGACCGCCTTATTGCGGCCCGACTGCGAGTAGAACAGGACCGTGTAGTACCGGTCATAGAGCAACGAGAGCTGGTCCTTGGTGAACCCGGCCGAGTCAATCACGTTGCGCAGGAACGTGCGCTTCGAGAACTCCTGCACCGAGTGGACGATCTTGAGCTGGTGCGAGCGCCGCAGCTCCTCGATCTTGGCCTGTGTGATCAGCGGGAAGTCGCTGTACGCCACATACACCAGCTCGTGGAACTTTGTGATCTGCCGCGCCCGCACATTGTCGCTGTCGGGGAACGCCTGGTCGCCCAGCGTCTGGTAGTACGTCTTTAGCACATGCAGGAACGTGCCGTCGTCCGTGACTTCAAGCAGCTCCGCTCCGTTGATCTTCAGAATCGCCAGCCCGATCTGGAACAGGATCTTCGGGCCCTCGAGGAAGAAGCAGTCGAGCACACGCAGTGCATATACCAGTGGCATCGAGTTGACAAACAGCGTCAGGAACCACGGCAGGCACGCGATTGACAGCTGGATGTCATGCTGCTTGAAGTTCTGCGCCAGCATCGGCATCGTGTCCTCCACCAGCGTCTGGAATATCGCCTGGTCCAGGCTGGCGCCGTACATTGACGGGCTGTAGTACCCGGGCACCAGCCGGTCGCACATCACCGTCAGCGTCCAGAACGCCTGCTCCTCAGTCATGTATATCAGCAGTGTCGACGCTATAATGTTCATGGCCTGGCAGTACCCGAGCTCCGCGTCGCGCAGCGAGTACGCATTGAGCACCCGCCGGAGTCGCGTCGATGCCCTCGGGCGACTGGTACCCGGCGTACTCGGGCAGCGAGCGGTTCAGATCCTTCTCAATCTCCTCGGCATACGGCCCGGGGCAGTCGAGATAGTCGTTGACGTATTTCTCGTACACCCCGCGGTTCTGGAACCGCAGATACATGGCGCCGGAGCTCAGCTCCCAGATCTCCCCGCGCAGGCAGTTGGGCAGCCCGACGCGGATCAGCCGGTCAAACTCGGCGCGCCGGATGGTCGTCAGATTGCGCCCATACGTGCCCAGGTAGTCGACCCAGGCGCGCACCTTTGACTTTTCCTTCAGCTGCTTTGGGTCGCCGGGGAACCCGAACGTCTTGCCCAGGCACTCCAGGCACACCACGTCCTTCGTCTGCAGCAAGTACTCGCTGGCGACATGTCTTTAAGAACGGCTTCAGCAGATACCGTGTCAGCGCCGTGTGGTTCTCCCGCGCAAACTTCTGCTCCTCGACCATGTCCTTGAGCTGCCCGCGCAGGGCGTCGCACCAGGCGTCGCACTCGCGGTTCTCCAGCGGCACCTTGAACACGACGCCCATCTGATGCCACACTGTGATCACCAGCTCATAGCACATGGTCCCGTTGCCGTCGGTGCCATTCAGCCGCTCAATGCGCCGCACCGGCCGCCAATGGCAGGATGATGCGGCAGCCGCGGAAATCGCGCGAGCTGAAGCACACAAACGATGTCGACAGATACAGCCGGCCGCTGTAGACGCTGACCGACTTGGGAATCACCAGATGCGCCGACTCGATTACCGACAGCAGGCTCTCGTTGCCAGGCAGCCCGAACCCGCCACGGAACTCCTCGTTGCGGCGCTGCTGCGCAATCTGCTCTGCCAGCGACCGGCCCTGGTCACGCAGGCCCGAGGTCCGGATCATCGGCAGCCGCGTGTCTGGGTTGATGGCGCTGTTGGCGCTGCTGGTGTGCCGGTGGTGCGGGCCCGAGTGCTGCGTGTTGGTCGAGTACTCGGAGCTCCGCAGCACCTGCTTCATCGTGTTGGCCGTCAGCTGCGACAAAAGGTCGAATGTCTCGTCGCGGTGGAACAGATTCGAGAACCAGTATTTCTGCCCGCCCTTTGTCGTCACCTCGATGGCGTCGTCACGTGCGCCGCCCATCGACTTGGCCTTGGCCAGGTCCTGGATCTCGCGCAGCTGGAACATGATCCTTGTTCTCGCTGCCGAATATGTACGAGTAGAAGCAAAAGTAGTTTTCGCTCAAATACAGCCACCCCTGGTGCATCATCAGGCCCTTCTGCAGGGCGCACGAGTAGTAGTTGACCAGGCTCTCGCTGACATCGAATGTCTGGCGGAACGTCGTCGTCGCCGCACGCATCTTGCGGTCTGCCGGCGCATCCAGACCGCCCTCGGCCGACACCAGGAACCGGATCTTGGTCACAACAAAGCTGGCGCGCTCTGCCGGGTCGTCGAGCTCCGTCACCACCGGCATGATGTTGTCTTGCAGCCACTTCCAGTCCATGTCTATTTCGTCCTGGCTCTCGCTGACCGCCAGCAGTATGAACCGGTCATGCATCTGCGCATGCCGGTACACGAGCCGGTAGGAGGGCGGCTTCGTGTCAAGCACGTTTTGGATTGTGGCGAGAAAGTTTTTGAGCACCGTGCCCACGCCCGACGACACCGAGCGCTGGAGCACAAAGTTCTCCGTGTATTTGACGTCCGTCCAGAACGCGCTGGGCTCGGCAGGCGCTGGGAGAATAAACATTTGAACGAAAGCTGGCGAAATGTGTACTGTGAATGCTGTGGAAGTAAAAGTACCAACAAAAGGTCTGCAAGGCGAAGAGAGAGGGAGGCAACAATGCCCCACTTTCCCGCCCAGAGTGCTACGTCGGCGGCCCAAAAACTCTTCAGAAGCAGCCCTGGTCCAAAGCACGAAAAGCAGATTGGCAATCAAGGTAAAAATAGCATCCCTTGATTTGCAGCAGCAGCCCTTGCGTTCGCCGGCTCTGCAGGCTGTGCCAGCATTCTCGCAGCACCATCTCGCTCATGTTTAAAGGGATGTAGTGGGTGTGGTTTGACTAGATAGGGCAGACTACATGGAAGACACAGACGCGCTAGCGCTTTCCTCCGGCCTGGTTCTGGCTCTCGATCTTAAAGTACGTCTTTCTCTTCCTCTTGCGCCGGGCATCCGCCTCGGCCTCCTCGGCCCTCCTCTTCTCGCGGTACGCCTCGTGCTGCTTCTTGGCCTTCTCCTTGGCCTTCTTCGCCTTGTCCTTGTGCAGCAGGTTGATCTGGCCGAGCAGGTTGGCCACCTTCTTGTCGTGCTCAGTCCATGACCACCGCCCGCGTGACCTTGTTGGTCTTGATCACCTTGGGCCGCGACTTGAACGGCAGCTCGGCCTGCAGCGCCTTGGGCACAACCAGCGGGTTGAACTGCTTCTCGACGCGCTCGATCTTCTTGTAGTGCGAGTCCTTCTTGTTCGGCACCGCCAGGTTCTTGGACCGCCGGATCTCCGCAATCTGCCGCATGTACGTCACAGACAAAAGCGACGTGATCGGGATTGTAGAACTGCTTGATCGGGATTGTGTGGAACGCGCGCAAAAACACAATGTCGCTCATCTTGACCTTGTCCTCGAACGTCGCGCGGAACATAGCCCGAGTTGCCCGACGCCTTCTTGACCTGGCCGCGGATCCCGCTGACCGTCTTGATCGACGCGCCCTCGAACTTGGCCACCTCAAGCGGGCTGTTGAACATCTTCTTGATGTACGCCGTGTTCTTGTGGATCTTGTCCGGGTAGCCGGTCAGCTTCAGCTTCTTGACAATGTCGATCGACTGCATGTTCTCCAGGACCGAGCCGGTCGCCGCAATGCCAAAGTTGTGCTTGCGCTGCATAAAGTACGCGCAGAAGCCAGCACCCGGCTGGATGTACGGGCCGTAGACAACGGCGCTGCAGTGCATGTGCTCGGGCGTGTACTTGAGCATGCGGTTCTTGATCCGGTCGTTCATGTAGTACGTTGGGATTGTCTGGAACCGGCGCCAGCCGACCGAGATCACAATCGGGTCGCCGGTCTTCAGGATCTTCGGATACCAGCGGTGCCGCTTGACGCGCAGGTTGATCAGTGACAGGCCCTCCTCGTTCGAGATTCCGCCGACCACAATCGGCAGCGACGGGTCGAAGCCCTTGACGAACTCGTACGGCATGTCGTCAACTACCACCTTGACGTACTCGCCCGCCCACCGGTATTGGATGTCCGCCAGCTCGTCCATCTCGTTGCGCGTGTTGTCGACGTACTTTTGCAGCTGCTCCTTTTGCGTCTGGTAAAAGTCCTTCTTCTCGCCCGCCTCCTCCTCCTCCTCGTCGTAGATCTTGTCAAACTTGTTCTTCAGCTTGGACATCTTCTCGTCAGACAGGCCGTACGGGTTGCTCTCGCCCTCCTCGGACTCGGCATCAGAGTTCTCCTTAGAATCATCCTCCTCATCCTCATCGTTGCTGTCCGTCGCCATCAGAGTCCCCAGCGTCCTCCTCATCGCCGGACCCCGCCTCCAGATCCTCGAAATCACCAGTCGCGTCTTGGTCGTAGTCGTTCTCGTCGGCGCCCGCAGCACCGTCAGCATCCTCATCGCTATTGCTATCGTCGCCATCTTCACCGGTGATGAACAGGCGGCGCAGTTGCCGGTCGTCGAGGTCATCATCGATGGCCATAGACTTGATCGTATCGTCGCCCTCATCATCGTCGGCCGACTTGGGAGACTCGCTGTCAGAGCCGTAGACGAGGTCCATCAGGTTGACGCGCTTGACACCTGTGTGCAGAGGCTGGGCACGAAGCGTCTGCTCGCTGTCCTCATCGCTGCTGTTACCAGAGACATCTGACTCTGGACTCATCCACGCGCATTAGCAGATCGTCGTCGGTGTCGTTGTCCGCTGCCCTCATCGTCATCGTCATCATCATCCTCGGACTCGCTCTCGCTCTCGCTATCAACCTTGCCGTCGTCATTGAACACAGCCGGACGACGAATGGACTCTGCTGTGACCGGCATGGCGCCCGAAAACAGGCTGAACGACTGGTCCTTCAGGCTCTCGGACAGCGCCCCCACCTGCTGCAGCTCGCTGAGCATCTTTTCGCCCTCGCCCTCCTCGGCCTTCTCCTCGTGCTGCGGCTTCTTGACATCAATATAGACGGCGTCGTTGTCGTACATGACTCCGTTGACCTCCGACATGGGTGCATAAATCAGCTTGTGCCGCTCATCCAGACGCTTGCGCTCCTTGTCGGGAATCGCACACGGATCAGGCAGCGTGTTGACCTCGCCCAGCATGAAATCGCCAGCGCCCGGAATATGCACGCGGTCGCGGCCCTTCAGGTGTGTACCGCGCAGGAATCCGTACAGTGCAACCGTGCGATTCGCCTTCGGATTGCCCTCAAGCAGCTCCGGATCCGTCAGATCCTGCATGCGGTCGGCCAGCAGGTACGGGTGCGTCGAGCGCCACGCCAGCGGCCGCAGCTTGACCTGCGAAATAAACCGCGACAGGTTCAGCGTCTCCTTGTCCAGATACCGCCCGTTCTCAACGCCCCGACAAGTAGAACAGCTTGGCACCATCGTACACCTCGGTCCAGAACCGGTGCTTGAAGTTCTTCTTCACCAGCTTCAGCTTTTTGTTGTCCTTGAAGTTGTCCAGGTGCGTCAGCACTCCCATCACCTTGCCCATGCCGTGTGTCTGCAGAATGTTCAGGTACTCGAACGTCTCCATCTCAAACCCAAAGCTCGCGTCGATGACCAGCAGAATCAGATCGGCCACCTTGGCCATGTCCACCATCGCATTCATGTCGTTGGCGCACTCCATGAACGTCAGCCGCTGGTGCTTGCCACTCACTACTGTCACGGGCCCGCGGATCTCCGACAGCGTGTGCTTCGTGTACCGCCGCACCAGCGACTTGATCAGCGTCGTTTTGCCGCACTGGGGCGGTCCCACCACAGCTACCACCAGGGGCGGCGGCGTCGTCGGCGTCCGGTCCGCCATCGGCACATGGTACTTCTTCTCGTTCAGCTCCAGCCGCCGCCGCGCCATGCGATCGGCCTTCTGTGCCGACTGCATCGTGAACGCCTTGGGGTTGTTCTTCTCGGCATTCTTCCGCTTCTGCAGGCTCTTTTTTGCACTGGCACCAGACTTGTGCACCCTATGCGGCTTGTGCACTTGCTTTGCGTCCATTCTGCACTGGGAGGAATATAATACGTGTGGTAGGGGAAAAATAAAGATGCGGGCTGGAGAAGAGAGACGCTGGGCGCCGATTGCCGGCAGCAGCGCTAGCAAGAAAAAAATTCTGCGATCGCAAAAATTGATCCCCAGGCGCCTGATCCCTTGATTGCAGCTCGCCGAGCACTATTTGCGTCCTTCCCAGAGATTTGCCATCGACGTGCGGCCGGCATCCAGTGGAGTGTGAAGTCTTGTTTTCCTCGCTTTTTCTTCTTGCTAGGCCGCCTAAACCGTCCTAGTTCTACTTGTTCAGCAACAACACCCTCAGCACCCCTCCTGTATACTCCTGCGGCTTGTCGACAAAGGGAGGGTGCGAATACTAGTCGTCTGGAACCTGATACTACACAGCGACACTGACTGCCTTTCTTCTCCAACTTTTGTATTATTTTTCCTTCTCACGACACCCCCTGAACTCCAGCATATACTCAGGTTGTTCGTACAGTTTAAATGGAAGACATTCGCAGCTACATTAAGCAGTGCACAGGCAAGCAGAAGACGTTTTACCCTGTAGAGCTGGCGAATTTGCTAGTAGCAGCGCAGAATGAAGGCGACCTGCCCGACAATTGCCTGGAAAACGAAGTCTGCGAGGCTGTTCTGTTTCTTTCGCGGCTCAAGGATGAGCTGACGCCCGATAATGCCAAGCTCTTGGTGGAGAAGGTGCTAAAGGTCGACTTTGACGACCTGCATATGCCAAAGACGCTGCTCGACTCCCGGAAGCGCACCACACCGGCATTGTCCAAGAAAGCAGTTACGTCGAGCGCCGAAGGAGCCAGACTCCGCCAACGCAACTTGGCCAAAATGACGGACGAACAGTTCGAGGCAGTAGCAAGCACAATTCAGCCAAGTCTGGTCGACAACGTAGCAAACTTTGCGGCTCAGTTGGGCATGGGGCCGCCGTCGAGGACGCCCCCGCGTGGCCACCAGAGATTCTCGACCTTTTCTGCCCGGAGTACGCCTCCGGCTGCCGGCGACATGACAGTTCCGGATAGGGATGTCCAGTCAGACTCGGTAAGTAACCTGAGGGGCCCTGTTCTGCCTTCTGTTTCTGTCCAGCATGACAGTTATTTTTGGGGAGGGCTGGTCATGACGTAGAGACAACAAAGCCCATGTCCGATGCGCATCAGGAGTCACGCCGCCGCATATTGGGTACCGTGCAGATGCCAGCATTATCTCTGTCTCACAGTCGCTGTGTTGGGTTCTAGGAGTGAGCCCATAGGGTCAGTTGACATAAAAACGCCGATTGTCAGCCCTCCTGCGCCCATGTACTATTGTGCCTACTTTATGCACGCAGCATACCTCACTCGCGGGATCCACGCTCAAAGCTTTGCTTGCCGCCGCTAATGCCACATAGGAACAGAGCGCTCTATCGACGCCGCATGTCAGCCGCAGCGTGCTCAGCCAGCGCCTGCGCTCCTCGACACGCGGCAACATTCCGACATTCAACCTCAGCCTGTCCCGCAGCCGCCCCGGCAGCCCGCTTTACGACGATTTATCCCCTGTCAGAGAACCGTCGCCATCACGCTTCCACAACAACGACGAGGTTGTTCGGCACACCGACGAGCTGCTGAGAAAGAACGCAGAGCTCAAGAAGCTGCTCGCCGAGGCGAACCGCCGTCTGGAGCTGAACAATGGCCAGCACGAGAAGCGCACCGAAGAGCTTGAGCGCGCGGTGGACGAGTGCCGCGCCGAACTGACCATGAAGCGCCGTGAGATCGAGAAGCTCAGGCAGTCTGAGCGCGGCTACATCGAGAGCCTGCACGTCTCGGAAACCGAGGTCGAGAAGCTCGGCGTTCAGCTCTCCAACAGCCATGCACAGTCCACGGATCTCAAGCGCCAGCTCGACAACAGAGCTGTGCAGGTCTCTGAGGCCAACAAGCACATTTTCGAGCACAGTTCTGAGATCAAGACCCTGAAGGCAAGCCTGGATGCCAACAACCAGCAGCTTGAGGCAGCAAGCAAGGAGTACCAAAAGATGCAGCACAACTACCTTGTCGCCAAGCACGAGCTGGCTACTGCGCGTGAGTACAAGGAGGAGGCAGACGCAGCCAGTCAGGAGAACGCCAATCTCAGCAAGCTTATTGAGCAGCTGCGCGCAGAGTTGGCCGAGGTTCGTCTCCAGCTGCAGTCGTCAGTACTTCGCGATGCCGATCATGACTTGGCTAGTATCCACCGCCCAGGCATGACCAGGGTCAAGACCCTGCGCGACGAGCTGGCCCAGACAGGCTCCGGCGACCACTCGCCTACTGAGGACGGGGTGCTTGAGCCCAAGAGCAGCCGGCGCCGCATGAGCCTCATCAACGACACCATCCAGGCTAGCAGCTCATCGCTCTCCTTGCCGTCCGACAAGGGCGTCGGCACCACCGATACCGACAAGCAGGAATTGAACGAGGATGCCGTGCGCCACTGGATCCAGTCATCGCTGGTGCAGTTCCCGCCACAAGACCTGGTTCTGCTGCACGAGGTGTGGAAGCGCATCGAGTACAGCGATAGCAGTGACGATAACCGCGCCGCTCTGCGCCGCGAGCTCATCTCGGTATTCACTGCGCCCAACAAGTACGGGCTCAAGGAGGCCATCCACAGCCGCTGCAATGCAACCCTGACGCGCATCGTCGGACAATGTCTCCGGTCGACACCACGGGTTCACGCAAGGGCCGCAAGAACAGCATCGTCAAGATGATCACCAACGGCCAGCACGCTACAGCCGTCATCATTCTGTACTCGGTAGTGATCTTCTGCCTGGGTGTCATCACTGCCAGCTACCTCAACATCTCGCAGCCGATCGCCACATCGCTGCCGTTCGGGCTGTCCAACAATACCGCTGGCGCAGTCACCGATAGCGGCGACGGCGGCATGAATTTGGTGCGCCAGATTCTGGTCGTCGACGATACCCCGGCACACAGCTTCTACCCGCCTGTGCGCAAGAGGTCGCCGCGGTCGCGCTTTGGCGAGATTATGTTCTACTGGGTTGAGACGCTGCTGTGGGACGAGTCGGATATGCAAATCCCCACATAATCATGACACTATATGGATTGCTAGAACTATGTGTTCACATTCCGCCTAACCCTCCTTCCCGATACGTTTTTCTCTCATTTGTCGACGCTGACTGTTTATTAATATGACACCAACCTTAATTCTTCCGTGTATCTCTAGATCCCGGTATTGGTGAACTTTATGCCAGTGATTTTGCTGATAAAGTCAACGTAGTGGTGCACATGTGTGTATACACCATACCCGTTGAGCAGCCCACATGTTGGATTCTCTCTAATGTCAGACCCGAAACTAGTCAGGACCAGCCAGGCACGGCACGCCCTTGACGTAGATGATGACACCTTGGCCCGAATCTCCCTGGCACGAATCAGCAAGTGGCGTCCAGGATATTCTCGGTGCATATCTGTGGACCATCGGCAGACGTGTACTCTGCATCTGAGACCTGCTTCAAATACGCCGCGCAGTCTTTTGCCTTACCAACCTTAATAACAGCCTCTTTCAGCATAATCGAGATTGAGTCCTCATCCACTGGATCTGTTCTCCCCCAGCCCAGCACCGTCAGCGGCGTGCTATCAGCAATAGGCCCGCCATATATTGGCACTGCCTTTGCGTTGCTCAACTTTGGCACCTTGATCAGCGCAATGTCGTTGGCCGATGTGGCCAGGTCAAAGTCTGGGTGCACAAATGCTTGCTCGGCAGCCACATAGGACAGCTGTGTGATGTTGTTGTTGCCCGTGCCGACTCTGATGCTTGCCAGCAGGGAATGGGCGGCTGGTCTCGCCATCAACCATGCAATGGGCCGCCGTCACCACATAGTTGTCGCTAATAACGCTGCCGCCGCACAGGAACCCATTTTCGGGGTCCGTGCTAATCTCCACGCTAGCAGTAAACGGGAACTTTCCAGCAGGTGCGATCTTGCCGCCAATGATACGCTTGTCAAAAGTCCAGCTTAAAGCGTTCGGCGCAAGTGGCGAAGATGACTGAAAGTGAGAAGAGAGATGTGGAATGCATTGACGGTATGTGTACTGGCAAAAAAAGAAGTCTAAATGGAAGCAGGGTAGTGTTGGGACAGAGGAGTGAGAGAAAGGCATGGTCCTCCTTTTATTCCCGCTCTGTGTCTTCCCAGACGCCTCTAATGCCGAGAAACTTGCTGCATTCGCTCTGAAAATTCAATGTCGAACACTTCACCCTTCCGCCAAGACAGGGGGACGGGCGCATTTTGTCGGGAGACACATGCTCTTGCCAACTCCGGGAAGAGACAACTCCTCTTGGCGCCCATAGACTTTCCCGGCCCGGCCGATCATAAGGTCATATATATGGCCAGCACCGGACAAAACATCATTGTACTGGCCTTTACGCAGCCCCTCGTCTGCCTCAAGAGATGATTGCATTTAGCACTATGGAAGCGCTTGGAGGGGCTCGCATGCAGGCGTCTGCGCTGATACCATTGTGCGACCATATAAAACAAGATGCGGACAGGAGTCCCTTGCCCTGTATTCCGCACATCCTTTTGCTCGCGATTGGTCAGCTATGTGCACGAGGTGCACAGACATGGAGTTGCTCGCTTTGCCTGTTGCTGTTTGACTCTCAAATTGAAGAACCAGTTTTTCAAATAACTTTTCCATATTCAGCCACCCACATCCACCTGCTACGTACCCCGCAACACAGAAAAGTCAACCCCGCTGGGATACTTCATAAAACCACGCAGCGAACTACTTGTAGAGACTAGGATATAGAATGGCAAAGATGCGCCAGCTGTGGAGCACTGCAGCTGGTATTTCTGTGACCTGTCCCCGAGTCGAACTCACACGGACCTATTCCTGGAGCTACAGGTTCCTCAGCGCAGATCCGTGCATTGATGCTGGTGGCGAATGACGTAGCATTCGTTATTCACATACAGACAACGCTGCTATTGTTTTCGGACTGCAATTGTATCCATGCATAGGCAAGTGGAGCTGATCAGAAGAGCTGTAACTAGATCCTGAGCATACATGCGGTCTAGGCATAATTCAGCATGCTTCGCGTTATACATAGCAGCTGTGTTTAGGCAACCAAGTGGTAAATAGTACCTCAGCCTGGGGCTCGGAGATGTATGGAGCCAATACAGGCTCTGTTCTGTGTACCGCAGGCATGACCGATCCATCCCAGCTCAGTTTCTAGATCTGATCATCTGATTCCCCGTCAAGCCTGCGAAATGTATGTAGGGCTGGGGCAGTTTTTTTTTTTGAGCGGTAACCTACCTGCTGAGAAGAATTTTTTTGCAAGGGCATCTCTTGCATTTCTCGCTCGCATTCCTAATTTTAAAAAAAAAAATTGCAATCAGCTCATCTTTAGCCGCATAAAGATGCCGCCGTTTTTCCAGAGACCCGAGAATGCGCTTAAGCGCGCTGAAGGTACGCATTGGCTGTTCACTGAGGGGTCAGATTCGCAAACTGAACGCAGCAGATCGAAGGCGGCAAGCAGTATAGCGGCAATGAACTGGTTGAAATCCAGCGAATCTAAAACTAAAAGCATAACACCCCTACCTTTGTAGAGCTTATCATGGTCGGCCAGTCGGAGACTGCCTTCCAGACTCTGTACGATGTTCTTATGAACAAGCGCCTGCGCAACGCTACTGCGTCGACGACCGAGCCGGTGATTAAGAAGTACGTGGAGCTGTGCATTGAGCAGCGCAAGGGCAAGAACCTTAAGGAGGGCCTGCTGCAGTACCGCAACATTGTGCAGCACTCGAACCCGGAGTCGCTGGACGCCGTCGTGCGCCCGATGCTGGAGGCGATTACGTCGCGGGTGGTTGAGGCGCAGAAGAGCGCCGAGCAGATCACCATGGACACCATTGAGGACCTGGACGAGATGGAGACGCCCGAGGACATCATCCTCAGCGCTGTCAGCGGCGAGCAGTCGAAGGACCGCACCGACCGTGCGGTGGTTACGCCGTGGCTCAAGTTCCTGTGGGAGGCGTACCGCAACCTGCTCGACATTGTGCGTGGCAATGTGCGCTTCGAGGTCCTGTACCAGACCATCTCGAATGAGGCCATTGACTTCTGCAAGAAGTACGAGCGCAAGACCGAGTTCCGCCGGCTGTGCGACATCATGCGCAACCACCTGCAGACCATCGTCAAGTACTCGCACCAGGCAAACTCGGTCAACCTGTCGGACCCCGAGACCATGCAGCGCTTCCTGGACACGCGCTTCCACCAGCTCAACACGGCCACGGACATGGAGCTGTGGCAGGAGAGCTACCGCTCGATCGAGGATATCCACAACCTGATCCAGCAGTCCAAGCGTCCGATCAAGCCGCAGGCCATGGCCAACTACTTTGAGAAGCTCACGCGCATCATGTATGTGGCCAAGAACCCGCTGTTCCTGGCTGCCGCGTGGCACCGCTACTACAACTACATCCACCGCCAGACCAAGTACTTCTCGGAGGAGGAGCTGCAGAACGTGGCCACCAACGTGCTGCTGTCGACGCTGGCGGTGCCCATCATCAAGCCGTCGTCGCGCATCATGTCGGCTGCGGCCAAGGAGAACAAGCACCGCACCCAGCGCTACACTAACCTGCTGTTCCTGAGCTCGGCGCCCACTCGCGTGAGCCTTATCAACGACCTGGTCAGCGGCGAAGTCCTTGCCCGCGTGCGTCCCGAGCTGCGCCCGATCTACAACCTGGTCGAGGAGCAGTTCCACCCGCTCTCCATCTGCAAGAAGCTGGCTCCCATCCTTTCGGAGCAGGTTGCTACCAACGAGAACGATGCCAAGTACGGCACTCTGCTGTGCAACGTTATCCTGACCCGTCTGCTGCAGCAGCTGTCGCAGGTGTACACATCGGTCCAGCTCGACTTCATCTTCCGCCTGGCGCGCTTCCCTGAGCCCTTCTCGATGACCCCGTCGGCCATCGAGCGCTTCATTATGAACGGCGCTCGCCGCGGCGAGTTCCAGCTGCGTATCGACCACCAGGCCCGCTCGGTCATGTTCGACACTGATCCGTTCGATGGCTCGCAGTCGTCGAGCAGCGGAGCCCAGCTCCAGGCGTCGCCGTCTGATCTCATGCGCTCACAGCTCAGCTCGCTGGCTATCAGCCTGTCGAACGCGCAGCGTGTTGCCTGCCCCGAGTATGTTGCCGAGAAGCAGGCTGCCAAGGAGGCGGCTATTGCCAAGGCGCTGCAGACGCTGGAGGAGGAGCACCGCAACGCTGCGTCGCGCAAGCTCGTGATTGACCGGAGAAAGGAGATGATCGAGAACGCGCTGGCCCGCAAGGAGCGTGCTGAGGCGCGCGAGCGTGCAATCCGCCAGCAGCGCGAGCAGGAGCTCGAGCGCCAGAGACTGGCCGAGGAGCAGAAGCGCCGCGAGGTGGAGCGCGCGCAGAAGGAGCGCGAGGCCATCCAGCGCGAGGAGGCCAAGAAGCTGGCCGAGTCGATCAAGCAGAAGGCCGGCCTGGACGTCAACATCGACGATCTGGAGCAGCTGGACACGACCAAGCTGCTGGAGATGCAGGTCGAGCAGCTGGAGAAGGAGAAGCAGGACACGCAGACCAAGCTCAAGGTGCTGGGCCGGCGCATGGACCACACCGAGCGCGCTTACCGCAAGGAGGAGCTGCCGCTGCTGGAGGAGGACTACGCCACGCAGAAGCTGGCCGACCGCAAGTACCACGACGCCGCCCGCAAGGCCCAGGTCACCCAGGCCCGCGAGAAGCACCAGCACGACATGGAGCAGAAGGAGCGTCTGGCGCGCATGACCAGCGACTTCAACACCATCCGCAAGCAGCTCGACGAGGGCCGCTCCGAGGCTCTGGCTGCCGAGCGCAAGCGCATTCGCGATGCCCTGGCCACCGCCAAGGAGGAGCGCCTGGCCGAGTATCGCCGCGTCAAGGCGGAGAAGGAGACTGCCGAGGCTGCCGAGCGTGCTGAGCGCGAGGCGCGCGAAGCCGAGGAGATGGCTCGCCAGGACGCCGAGAAGGCCCGCAAGGCTGCCAAGGACGCCGAGCTGGCCAAGCTGCGCGAGGAGATGGCTGCCCAGCGCGAGCGCGACGCCGAGCTGCTCAAGAAGCGTCTGGAGAAGGAGCGCGAGGTCGAGGAGCGTCTGGCCCGCGAGAAGCGCGAGCGCGAGCAGCGGCCCACGCCTGGCAAGTACGTTCCGCCCAGCCGCCGCACCGGTGCTGCCCCGCCGCCTGCCGCCGCCCCGCCAGCGTCGTCGTCTCCGGGCAAGTACGTCCCGCCCAGCCGCCGCACTGGTGCTGTCCCGCCTGCCTCCTCGGCCACACCGACACCCCCGCCCACGCGGCCTGCGGCGTCGGGCTCCTCGCCGGGCAGGTACATCCCGCCCAGCCAGCGCCGCTAAGCGACTGCCGAAAACGGAACTAGGCTTCCCTTTTTTCAAATAACATTTTAACTTCTCCAAGAACTGTCCCTTCTCAAAGGCAATACAAAGAAGCATTTCTTGGTCTCCGCTACTCCGGCTGCGGCTACAGCAGGATCTTGTACTTTTCCTCGCGCGGTACCGTGTTGATCACCATGCGGCCGTCAAACGACAGCGACGCAAAGACCCACGGGTCGGCGGCAGACCAGTGGGCAGCGTATACGCTGGTCTCGTGGTCGTCAAACTGCGCTACCAGGCCGTCCGCTGGCCGTCCAATCCCGTCGCTCTCGTCGTAGTCAAAGTCGTCGATCGGCCCATCGGTACTATCCGCTTGCCCGTCGTCAATTGTCGCCACAGCCTGCGCCGACGACACGCTGACTGCGCTCTCCAGATTGACAAGCCCGTCGGCGCCCGCCGAGAGCACCAGCTGGTCGTGGTTCGGGTTGAATTCCACGCTATACACCCAGTGCGTGTGGTGCGCAATATCTATGACTGGTCCTGCCAGACTACGTGCATCCCACAGGCGCACACACCCGTCGTCGCCGCCAGTGGCCAGTATGTGTGGCATGTTAGGGTTGTAGTCGATGGCTCGCACCTTGCCGTTGTGCGCATAATCCACGGTAAACGCGGGTCTCTGGTTTGCCGTATCTGTGCGTGTATCCCAGCCGCGCACGCTCGGCCCGTCTGCTGTCGCCAGCTGGCTGCTCGACGACGGATCCCATGACATCGCCTCGACCTCGTCCATCGAGTACCGCGCCGGGCTCACCACCGCCTTCATACTAGCTGTTGTTCCCGACAGATCCCAGATGCTGACGCCCGTCCCTGCAACCACGCCCGCCTGCCGGAACTGCCCAACTGGATGTACCGCCAGCCTATTCACCGTGTGGTCCGCCATCGGCGACTCCAGCTGCGCTACAAACTCTGTCGCCCGCTCCACACCATCGTCGACGATCGTGGTAGGTCAGGTCTGGTAGCCGCACAAGGCTGACGCTCGGCTTGCCCGCTTGCCCGCTTGCCTATTACAAGTATCTGACTGGCGTCCCATGGCGTTGAGGCGAGGGCGCGAATTCCCCCGCTGCATTTGTATACAAGGCTGGCTAGTGTGAATTCGTCGGCGTCAAAGTCGACCACATGGATCTCGCCGGTCTCTTTGACTCCCAGCGTGCCCAGCGCAAACCGGTTTTGCTCGCCGGCGTTGCGCATGGCAGCTAGGCAGAGCGTATGCCGCTCGATACCATAGACGTATGAATTTGTCCTTTCTTCCATCTGCCTACGAAATAGCGAATGCGAATGTTCCTGGAAACTGAAATAAAAAAGCGAATAGAGAAGAAAAGGCTGGCTGGTCCGCGGTCTGATCGGGCTCATAGCTGTGGTAGCTGACGTCACGAGTAAAACTTGGCCAGATAGGTGAAGCCGTGCAGATCTGCACGGCTCAAGCCATCCTGGATATGTCGCTTGCATTCCACTTTATTTGAAAGAGGCTTCAAAGTACTTGCTGCCTGAAGCTATTGCAGTTTAACGTCCCTCTTGGGACTTGCGACGGCACATGTACCTTGCTGCGATCACCTGCTAGCCGACACTGCGAGCCAGTGCTATCGACTACCCTTGGCCACTTGTCTCTTCTTGGCTCCATGTCAACTGCCAGCGCCAGGTCAACCGGAAACCCACTCATCATGCCACTGGGTAATCTGTAAAAGACCATGTTCGAGGGCAGCATGCTCCCGTGGATAAGGCGGCAGTGCTCCTCCATCATCTGGTGGATATTCAGAGCGTCGGCGGCACCTGACAAGAAGTCCTTCTTGCTCTTGAGCATTTCCACTGGCATTGCCGCCGGCGTTGTTACAATGCGCTGATGGTACCGCTTGAATTTCAGCGACCCGACATGTGGTTCCTGTGGCAGGTGCTACAAGCTGGTATCGCCAGGCCATCAGTGTGCGTTCACGAAAACTGTACAGCCTCGGGCCGACGATTCCGGCATTCAGCATTGCTTGCGCGGGGTGGTTGCTGCTTTGCTTTTGGCGTACAATGCCGCCGCAGATTAACTGCTGGTACCTTCGGTCGCCCACTGCTGTCCGGAATGGAACGGGACTCGGTAACCTGCTTGAGGGCAAAGGCTTCGTGGAGGTACGTGTCGCCTTCGTAGCTTTCCGGTGCCAGTGCCCATGTATCTTTGATGACGAATCTGTACTTGCCAAACACAGTGGTCGATGCCTGGAAGCAGCGCGTGTGGCGGCCGTACAGTCGCGACATGTTGTGCAACATGGGCGCTCTAGCGTAGAATGCGATGGGCAGACCTGGCGCAAGCGAGGTAGACTCGCTGTCATGTGGCCAAACGTCCTGCTGGCACTCGATTTCCCAACAGTCGACTCCCGCAAGGTACCTCATTGTTGTATCATACCCGAGCAAACTTGTATCGCACATGGCCCAGTACACGAAAAACTCGACGAACTTCTGTCAGTGATCCGAGGTCGAGCACCTCAGACAAAACCAGGCTTGGATGCGCAGTGGTGTTGGGCATTGGCCGACCGTCCACCCTTGCGACTAGACTGTAAGCCCGCGAGCGCAATGTGTAGTCAGGGTAGAAGCAGATATACGTGTGCCCGCGTTCCAAATACCAAAATACCCCACACAAACATGCGGTTCGGCTGGCTCACCAGCACATGCCGCAGCTGGTCATTCAGCTCCTGACTCGTAAATGCCCAAATCGATATCCATCTTCATCAGATGTGCAGACTATGCGGACTGGTGCAAAAACATCGGTGCTGAAGACATCACCCGACCCAGGTGCCACATTGCTTGGATACACTCGCGGACCCGCATGGTCGAAATCATGCGGTGTCATCAGCACTACATCGACTTGCGAGAACCGGCTGCTATCCACCAGACTCTTTTGGACAGGGGCTCTGGCAGTGATGCTTGTTGTTGGACTTTTGATGCCATCAAGGATGCGCTGGAATAGCCGCTGAATCGCGGTGCAGAGCTCGGCGGGATCATCGATATGTTTGCTGCGTAGGTAGTCACCTACTAGTCTGTGTTCGTGGCTGTAGTTCTGGGCTACGGCAAAGAGGTCGGCAGTTATCGAGGCTATCATGGCGTCTGCCTCATCAGTAGTGGCCTCGTCGGTTGGCATAACAAGGCTGTGGAGCGATTCATGTTGGAAGATGCGGAGTACCTCGACAGGGTTCAGGATGTCAGATTCTCCTTGTCGTCGCTATCCATGATGTGTTGAGCAGAGTCATGACTGGATGATGCTATCGCTGTTGGCATCCATCAATAAAAGATCTAAATGATAGAGGAGTACGAGTTAAAGATGCCAGCGAGTAAGGTCCGGCAGGGCGTGTATCCTCGGGTTTTATGTGCTCAGCGGCTGGCCAAATATCGCAGTCATATTTCTGGCATCACTTGTCAGCCAATCGCTGACCCTCTGTGATGGGAACCACAAGGGTAGTTCAAAGCACAGCTGCTGAGCAAGCCTGGTGGGCTGGGTACGAAGAGCCTACCAGATTCGGATGGCCGATCTTATCACCTTTTGCTAATTTATTAGCCCAGCTAACCCCACTCACTATTCCTGATCTCGGTCGCCCTTCGCTCTGACACCAGATCCAGTGTATCTTTTTTCTTTTTCCTTCTGGCACGCTTCTTCTGTTCGACATTTCGCTCATACAGCTCCCCTCCTTGTAATTCTACTTGTTTTTGCATTCCTAACGCAGGGTCCCGAGAAATGTTTCTGCGGTACTTGGGACAGCGTTGCTTACGGAATGCAGGCTTCTATACTGGCACACCAGTCGGCTCGCAGCATTAGGCCAGTAGCAGTGTCCCAGCACACCTTGCCGGTGCACACACAGCAGACCCCCCTCAAGACCACCGGCATTGAACTACGGCAAGAGCATCCGCGAGAACAAGCGGTTCATCCGATCGATTCAGCTGCTCAACGATACCATAGACAAGGGTGATCTGGACTCTGCATGGACAGCATATGTGGAGCTGCAGCGATCTTCGAGTCTCTGCTGGGTGTGCAGGACGTCAGAAATGAAGTGCACAGGGTGATTCCGCGGCAGAAGCTGGAATTAATGTTCCGCGCAATCGTCCCAGGCATTCGAATATAGAGCAGCGAATACAATGGAGGCGGCACGTACGGTGTATCGGTGCGTAAAGCTGCTGGACTACCTTATTGCGGTCAGCAAGTTGTTTAAGAGGCGGCGAAACAGCCTTGTGGTTCTACGGTTAGCACTGGGTCAGTGCATAAGACGATCGATTGAGGAGCGGCTTTTGGACAGCCCGCGTAGCGCTGAGCAGATCGTTCGCATGTGGGAGGAAATGAGTCGGAGCGAACCGATCAGCGACAAGGCTCACATACTACAACATACACTTGTTGATTCTGGGCGCCTGGAAGGCGAACCGGCATCCTGTTAATACCCTATCTATACAGCCTAGCGTGCAGCATGTGGGACGGCTCTGACAAGGCTGGGATTCCAGCGTGTATCAGCAACAACACTGTCGTTCTACACGCAAGAGTGTGCTCGTGACATCGATCCCGAGGTTATCCATGGACTGCTTGCAGGATCTGAGCCAGCGCGGGATCAAGCTGCTGCCGCATCACTACTCAATGCTGATTCTGTATTTTGGCGAAATCCGCAACACAGCGCGAGGCCTTGCGCATGTTTGAGCGTGCCATGGATGATCCGACAGCGCAAAAGACAGAAGCCATATACTACTATATCTTCCGCGCCATGAGCACAGCGTTTGTGCCAAAAGATTGATCACTGGCAGAAGCGGAGCCAGCGGCAAACCAACGAAATCGCTTGTCAAGGAGACCAGTCAGGATTTCGTTGAAACAGCCTGAGCTGCAGCGAAGAAAGCACTTGAGGAGGGATACATGAAGTATCTGGAAGGATCTAGATAACGACTCTGGGCTCGACGAATTCGGCGATCTCGCAGACACTCCCTGAATCAACGTGGCACATCAACAAGCCCTACATAACGACATCAACCGATCTCCACTCTGGGCAGACCTCCGAGCACATCGAGGCAGGCCAAGATCTGTACCTCGATCTTCCAGATGATGGCAGACAAGCATATCAATATCGGTCTGCGCACGTATCGCGAGCTGATCATATGTATGCTCCGGTTCAAGATGACTGACAAGGCGCGGCGACTGTTTGAATTCGCCATTGAGAACCTGGACTCGACCAAGGTCGATGCAAAGTTTGTCGAGCTCTACTTTCGGCTTACTACCAAGATCGCCGCATGAGATGCAGCTGTCGCTGAGGCACCATCTCCGAACGATGCCTGATTTGATGTTGGTGTTCCGCCAGTTCCCGCATCAGGTGCTGGCTGACCAATTTGGCATCTTCAAGGGCGACCTCCAGGCGTTCTTGGATCGTGAGAAGCGCCCGGCTTTGATATCCTGCCGATGCAGGGTCCTGGCAGAGCACAGCCTATGTTCGAATACCTGCAAACGATGCGGCGAGTGAGGAGGGCAGCGGATTTCCTCGCCTGCATCTTGACTGGAAATCGACTCGGGTGGAAAATTCAAAGGATATTCCTTCCCAACGCTCAAAGAGGGATGGAGCAGGGCTTGCTCTGGTCGAGGCCCAGATACGTGCGTTCTGCCAGTGGGCAGCGGGCGTCGACCGGCGCTGGCTGTACAACTACCGGATCATCTACCACCTGCTGCCAGTGATTGGCCAGATATCCGCATGTCTCTGATCCAGAACCGCAGGGAGTGCAATTTGTACGTGGGCTCGTCGATAACTGTGCGACTGTCGGCGAGCTGGATTTCTAGGCTGGACGATGTCAGGACCGAGGGCTTCAATATCGGCATGATCAACCAGTTCATGCGTGTAAAAGTACCTGGGCTTGACGTTTCGGCAGTATGTGCAGCACAAGGTGGCCCAGGATGACAAGACCTTGCAATATGGCGCTAGGAAAGAACGGGCGATGTGGCCGTCGTTTATGTATATACAGTCAAATGGGCCGATGGCACAGCTCCATCCGCTGGACACATCCCACGGCGCTTATTCGGGTGCTGTGCAGCACAGCCATGCTACAAAATCCATAGACGACGCAAAGCAAAGCTGGAAGCAGCTATTGGCGCTGATGCATGATGGTGGTAGTGCCCGGCTAGCGATGGATATGAACACAGTTGGGATTCTCTCGCTGGTGGCTGTGCAGGCGCAGGACTGGGCGTTCGGGCAACAGATCTGGGACGACGCCTTTGCCCTGCTCGACAGAGCTGGTCAAGACGGCTACATCCCTTGATCAGAATTCTAACGAGTACACGTCTCTGCGTAGCGCCAACTTGTTTAAAAACTACCTGCACTTTCTGACAGCAGCAACCTTGTCTGGGCACAGCGTGCGCAGGTCCATCAAGCGCACCAGCCCTGCACCGGCGGCACCCACACGGCACCTATTCGATGACTCGGCCCTGGCGCGTATGTTCTCGGCTATTGCTCGGCACAACATCCCCGTGTCCTCGGGCCTACTATGCCAAGGCATCCGCTGCGCATTCGAGGTCGGACGGATTGAGATCGCTGATGTGCTCGAGCAGTGGCAGCTGCAGCGCGAGCGCTCTGGCGCAGCCAATGATGGCTATTTACGCGAGTACTTTGGCACCTTCGCGCTACCCGAGATTCCGGCCAGCCGGGCGTCGATTCTGGGGCTGGTCCAAAGCTCCGCTCAATGTCCGCAGCTGTCGCGGCTGGTCGCCGAGCAGATGCAGGCGTGAGCGCTTTTTCAAAAGCCGCGTGGACGATGATTTTTAGGGATTAATTATTGTAATCAGATGAGCTCCTTCTATCGGCCAAACTTGTGTCTCAGAAAATTTTTGTACGACCGCTGTGGAATGGGCGTGGGTTAGGGAGCCAGCGTTAAAGGGAAAGCGTTCCTCGCTATCTCTTTTCCGCTTCTCACCCCTGTCTATAACACCTGCGAGACTTGTCTTCTATCATTCCAGTATGAGCGTTGCAGAACCCATTGGCGCCGATACGGCTGCTGTCGACCAGAAGATGGCTGAGCTTAGCGTTAGTTCGCCAGCCGACCATGCGTCCACAGACGCCAAGCCTGAAGACGACCATGAGGACGCTGACGGCGAGAAGAAAAAGAAGAAGAAGAAGAAGAAGAGCGGCAACAAGCACAAGAAGAAGGGTCCGGGCGCCGCCGGCCAGACGACCCCGCCCACGATCCCAGTCTCGAAGCTGTTCCTGAACAAGTATCCTGAGGGCCACATCCACGAGTACATTGATGACAACTCGTACCGGACAACGAGTGAGGAGATGCGCGCCAAGGAGCGCCTTTGCGAGCAGCAGGTCAACGACCTGCGTCGGGCTGCGGAGGTCCACCGTGAGGTGCGCAGCTACGCACGGTCGCAGATCAAGCCCGGCATGGATCTGGCTGATATTGCCGAGATGATCGAGAACGGCACGCGCACCCTGGTTGAGGAGAAGGGCTTTGAGGCCGGCATCGGTTTCCCGACTGGTCTGTCGATCAACCACTGCGCTGCGCACTACACGCCCAACACTGGCGACCACGTCATTATCCAGAACGATGACGTTCTGAAGGTCGACTTTGGCGTCCACGTCAACGGCCACATCATCGATTCGGCGTTCACCATGACGTGGAACGACCGGTATGACCCGCTGCTGCAGGCCGTGCGTGAGGCGACCAACACTGGTATTCGCGAGGCCGGCATCGATGTGCGTCTGGGTGATATTGGCGCCGCTATCCAGGAGGTCATGGAGTCGTACGAGATCACGCTTGACGGCAAGACTCTGCCGATCAAGTGCGTGCGGAATCTTTGCGGCCACAACATCGGCCCGTACACCATCCACTCGGGCAAGTCGGTGCCCATTGTTGCAAACGGCGACCAGACCAAGATGGAGGAGGGTGAGCTGTTTGCAATCGAGACCTTCGGTACCACCGGTACCGGCCTTGTGCACGAGGAGGGCGCATGCAGCCACTATGCCAAGTCGGGCGACGACACAGTCCAGCCGCGCATTACGTCAGCCAAGAAGCTGCTGGGATCTATTAACAAGAACTTTGGCACGCTGCCGTTCTGCCGCCGGTACCTGGATCGCCTCGGCGAGAGCCACTATTACATGGGGCTGAAGCACCTGGTCGACAACGGCATTGTCACCGCGTACCCGCCGCTCTGCGATAGTCCTGGATCGTACACGGCCCAGTTCGAGCACACGTTCATCCTCAGGCCGACGTGCAAGGAGGTTCTGTCGCGTGGTGATGGACTACTAAAAAAACACTGAGAATCGGCCTAGAGAATAAATAGATCTACTCTCTTCCACCAGCTATATAGCGATGTTTTATGACGAGTTTATTCTAATCACCGATTTTTGCGTGTATGCGTGTGCGATGCATTCATCCACTGCCGATAGCCGGTCAGAGGGATCGTGGTCTTTTTGACTGAGGGCCTCATGGGTATATTAGCACATACAAAGAGAGGGCTAACCAAGAGCTAATATCGTGCCTGTCTAGCAGACACAGCCGATGCCACCAGTCTTCTCGTCACAGAAGCAATAGCCCTGTCCATTGCAGCTATCCTTTCCAGCAGGCTTCCAATGGCCCGCACCGTGCTCCTTGACGCAATTGTCATAGTTTGCATTTCGTTTGCGAAGAGGCTCGGCCTGAACAACCGCAACAGTACCAACGATGAGGCAGAGAGCAGAAAGGGCAGTAAGGAATTTCATGGCTAAGGTGGATTGAGCTGAGAAAGGTGAAGAGGGGAGCGGGCAGGCTAGGAAATCTGCTAGTTTATATGTTGTTGAGTTTGAAATATGGCTTGGATATTGTTTCACTGTATGCTATTGAACACAAACAGTGTGCTCAGGCGTGGCGTAAACAATGATGGATGCATGTGGCAGTGCACTCTGTACACAGACATTCATGCACATTGCTGCTGTAGTCGATATGCAGCCATATCCATGTCTACGATGATCGGTAGGAACTGGCTATATGCATCTCGAGGTCTAAAATATGAATAAACGGCTCTTTTGTCGCCAATATCCTCTAGCACCCCAGATATGCACTTGATGCTTTGACATGCTGTTGAAGATAAACCGCACACTCCATTATGAAGGCGCACAGTGAAAGACTGTGCCACAGAGTGGTGCATCACACTAAGCACTTGCGAGGAGGATCTCTCCCTGTAATTTGATTCGTTTCTCTGTGATATCCTGTAAGCAGGTGGATGGGAGCTTCCACAAAGGCATGATTGAAACAGACACCGAGCATATTAGAACGTATGTTTATCAATCCGTTACTGTGATTTTGAATCCTCCTACCCACCTGATGTTTGAGATTCGTCGATTGAGAGATTAGAAGCAATACGATCCGCTGGATATCTTCGGAAACTGTCAGATTCTCGCTTGCCACATGCGATATACCCTTGAACTCTTAGACATACAAGTACAGAAAGACGACTGTGCAGCCATTCATGTTTTGGGAGAACCGATATGTACAGGCAGGTTTCCTTTTCGGCTAAGGATTGCATTGCGACCATCACAAATCGATTTTCTCTGTACCAAGTGATTCTGATACCAGCTTTACAGTCTGTGCCACGTATCGACCAGCTCTTGGATAAAATCTGCAAAACAGGGCTAGCTTGATAGAGAAACACCAGGAACAGTGCAGTTATTACTACAGGCTTGGAAAGCCAGACAGTCCATATAGAATATGTGCAGTCACACTGCCTTCTTCTTTTACCTGCTATAAACGCGTGAACTGGATATATGAACTGTACAGGAGACCGGTGCATCAGTGTCGTGTATCGGTCACAAAAAATGATCCGAAGATGCTTCTCTGAGTAGCTTTCATCAGCAACCAGGAGTGACATCCCTTTGTAGGCAGATACTCTTCAAAAAGATAACTCTGGAACGCAAACACGTTGGATCATCATTTCGATCGGCTATCATTAATTTATGTGTTCATACTTTTTTCTTGCAGAAACGACAAAAATAGTGTCATTTATCCATGACAGCATCTTGCTGGTTCACAGTATGGCTATATCGAGGACTGGCTCGAGACTATATAAACCTGCATGGCATTCAGCAGGGAAAGCAGACATCATCCAGCGTCGCTTTGCTAGCAACCACACCCTCTACAATCTTAGCTGCTCCATCTCCCAACGTTTAAAAGCCCAACCCATGAAGCTCGCTGCTACTATCGGAATTACTCTCGCTGCCACTGCTCTTGGCGTGCCGCAGGCATTTTCTGGCCAGAACACGCCTCCGCATCTAGCCAAGCGAATCATTGGCGGCAAATGTAGCACCTGTCAACAAGTACCCGTTTGCATCGATTATCAAGACTGTATATTCTGATGGCAGCCTGTCAAAATGCGGCGGCACTATTATCTCCAGGAACCACGTCGTTACCGCTGCCCACTGTGTTGTTCGAACTGCCACTGGCGAGCGTGCAATTCCCAAGAACACCTATGCTGGTTATGGAAACAACGTGTATATCTCGCAGACCCTGGTTCCGTCGTGCAAAGTATTTGTGCACCCCCAGTACAACTCGACTGGCTTTGAAGAACGATATTGCCGTCCTGGAGCTCCCAGATCTGCCGCTCGATGGAGTCAGCGTGGCCGCAGTCCCGGTGTACAAAGGCTCCCTCTTCCCTGGCATGTCTGCTACAGGCAATCGGATGGGGCCTGACCAACATGACAGACCCTCACAGTCCCGTCGTACCCGCTCAAGGAAGCTGAGGTCAAGATTGGTAGTATCGACCCATGCAAGACCCAGGTAGAAACTTGGCTGCACGACACCTTCGAGAACAGCAACGGGCCCCGTATTTGCCTTGAGGGTGCGCTGATGCCTGGAAACGGATCATGCTCGGGTGATTCAGGTAGCCCCCTTCTCGTGTTTGTCGATGGTGTGCCGCATTTTGCTGGTGTTGATAGCAATGGCGGAAACAAACAGGGTTCCTATTCGTGCGGCCAGGCTGATGGGTTCGACTTTTATACGCATGTCAACTACCACCTTTCCTTCATCAACGAAGCTACTGGTTTTAAACTCTGAGTACAAGTATATCTACCAAGACTTTTCATATTATTAAATTTCCAGAATACGACGGTTTGAATATTAGTTTTAATGTTGGTTCGCTTAACGGTCAGTGCTTTCAGTGGCAGAGAAATGAATGTATACTATTTTTATATCACCAGGTGTTGACATTCGGGGTCAAGAGTCTCCCCTGCGCCGCCATGGACATGGCCGAAACGCATACGTACTGATGTGTCTTGGATATGATACACTTAGATAGACAGCCTCCTGCAACTGTCTGGAATACGTTTATTCTCCAAGCACCTTTCCATAACATATATTGAAAGTATGAAATACGCTACATGAAAGAAGGAAGAATCGTCAGCTGAAAGGGGTGAGCGCCCGTCTAAGTGGTGGAGCTAGTCGCCTGGAATAGTATGAATGGCCATTGTATCCTAAGGGCCTTGGATTCATGGGTTCCTGAAATCATGTGGATTTGGAACCACACGTACAAAGGCCTAGGCTGACGATCAGCTTTCCTTCTTCGCCTCAGTCATACTTTTAGGGGTGTTTTTTCCATATGCCCAATAACCATTCATCCCCTAGGTTAGCAGGGCTCTCGTTAGGCGTTCGATTCGCCATCGCCTGAGTCAGCTGCCATGCTGATAGCAGGGACGACCGCATCGGATGCGCCATAGTACGAATCAACGGCCATATCGCGTTATGGCTTTATATCTTGGACTATCAGCCCCCTGGAACATATTTGTGAAGTAATATCAAAACGAATATTTAATATGCAGTTTTTAGCTACATTGAGCACTATAACTATCGCCATCTTCAACAATTTGAGTGCTACTTTTGTAAAACTGCGATTCAAACGGAATTGTGTTGGTGCATCTTAGCCCATCCTATTTAGCAGCTGCTGCAACATTGCAAAGGCTGGAATATCTCTTTCTGATGCAGCTGCTCCTCGATGTTCTTAGGCCCTTGCGGAATTGCCGGTGACCAGAAAATAGAATGTACCCTACACACCTCAAAAAAGGTAAATTTCCAGGACTTGATGCTGCCTTTCCAAGACTCTTCAATAAATTCCTCTGAAACAGCACCCTTTGTCGTCAGGATTTTTGCATTCACCATGCGGGCATTTGGCAAATATCTGCCAAAAGCCGATACTGCAATTGTCAAGTGTGGCAATTGGCTGTGCGCTGGTGTGGTGAAATAGTTATGGCCGGACCATGCAAATTCCAGTGTCAACTAAAAACTAGGCTCCGTCCATTTCAATCTGATGATGCTACTGCATTTGTGAAGTGGTCTTGCACCTCACGTATTTCTTTCACAGAAAAGACTTCCAAGGATCTGCACTGCAAAAAACACGTTAACTGCGGATGCTCATGCATAAGACACAAAGGGAGTTGCAACTGGTGCTATTTCTCCTAGCTGCATACAGCTCTTGGCACGAACCGCATGGCTCGTTATCGCCGACACGGAATACTTGTTTTGAAGACAATAAGAATTTTGTATTTGGCAGACGAGCACGGTGTAGCTGTTTTCTACAGTCCAGCTACCTTGTACTGTTCACTACCACATAGCTATGCACCATATTTTACCAGGCATTTGTGTTTACCTAAGGGAAAATACGGGCTCTGCTACAGGGTTTCCGGCACACTGATAGCCCGTCAGCCACACCACGAACGCGCATCTCTGAGCCACGCAGCCTGAGTGAGTGGAGGAGAAATCTCAGCTCCTATGCATTGAGCCACAGCTACAAAGAAAACTATGAACGCAAACCTGTAAAGACGTTCTTTTTCCGTCGTCCTAGTGCATCAAATTCATGTTCATTGATTCGCATGTAAAAATAAGATCAAATAAAATAAAAAAGAAAAATCCATCAGCCACGGCCATTTTATGTTGTGCTAGTTCCGCTTAGGTGGAATGCTGTCCATACTATAAAAGACAGGTCATTCAGCTAGAGGAGAGCTGGAGAGCAGACTGTAAACATACACTGCTACCAGAACCGCCTTCGTGTCCCTCGTCAATTGCAACCTTTAGATTCATCGCAATGAAACTCTCTACGCTCTTCGGAACCTGCCTCGTCGCCACTGCTTTTGGCCTACCCCAGCGCAGCGACCTAGATACCCCGCAGCTGTCAAAGCGCATCATCGGTGGCAATATTGCGGCAACTGGCAAGTACAAGTTCGCCTCAGTGATTAAGCTCGACATTGGCGGTCGCACTTACACTTGTGCTGGCACCATCATCTCCGAGAACCACATTGTGACTGCTGGGCATTGCCTGGTGGGGGCTACGGGCACCGTCAACTCTCCGCAGAACATCACGGCCGGCTACGGCAGCAATGTGTCTGAGCAGCAGACATTCCAGACGGCCACTAATGTGTTTTTGCACCCGCAGTACGACCCGTCACGGTTCGAGAACGACATTGGTGTGATCGAAGTCCCAGATATGCAGCTGGATGGTGATTAGCTCAGGCACAGTGCCCGTATACACAGGCTTGCTTGAACCAACCCAAGCTGTCACATCCATCGGCTGGGGCATGACCAACTACACGGACTACTACAGCGTGTCGCCGGAGCTGAAGGAGGCCGTCATCAAGATTGGCAACCTAGGCTCCATGCAAGTACCAGGTCGAGACGTACCTGCACAGCACGTTCGATCAACAGCAACGGGCCGCACATCTGCATTGAGAATGCGCTGGTTCCCGACAACGGGCCGTGCAGCGGCGACTCGGGCAGTCCGCTGATTGCATACGATGGCAACAGGCCGTACTTTGCAGGCGTCATGAGCAACGGCGGCGGTGCGCACGGCGAAGCTACGTGTGCTGTGACCGGAGGCTTTGCCTTCTACACACACGTCAAGAGCTACATCTCGTTTATTGCTAATGTCACTGGGCTTTCTCTGTAGTATCCCACCTAAGTCACCGGTATTATCTGCTAGCAGTTCCTGAGGAGGTAGTCTGCTGGTGGTGGATAATTTTTACCTTTGATACAGACCTGTAACACAGACCTGTAATACAGGAGCAGCATTCTGCGTGCTGCCTGGTGCCTTCTTTTTGCTCTTTTTCGCCCAAATGGTAATCCAATCAAGCAATTAATATAAATGCCAGCTTGCATCCCCTATTCGAACGCGTTTGCGCAGCCAGCTTCTAGTGCGCTCGAAGAGTGTGCACTATATAGCTTCGACTTGTGCCTATGCATCCGCAAATCTACTTCCTCCTGCAATTCTTTTTCTATAAATCAATGCGTTTCCGAACCATAGTATCAAACTCCAACCTGCTGCTGCGCGTAGTCCAGAGCATCGACAAGCTTGCCAAGGGCGCGATCCTAAAGCTAACACCCGAAAAGCTGCACATCATCGTACTGACAGACATTGACTCAGGGCTCCAGCTATGGTCAGATGTTGCAGTGGACGCACTGTTCCAAGACTACCGTATTGAGAGCATCCACAACAACGAGATATACCTAGAATTCAGCATCGACAACCTCATGCGGGCACTGAAATCAGCGCAGGGCGCGCTGCGCACCACCTTGAAGCTGACAAAGAAGCAGGGTCTACCATTGCTTTCCCTTGATAATCCAAAACCAGTCGAGCACGGGGCGCGAAATGAAGCTCTCGCAGGACGTACCGGTGCGGGTCCTCACGCCACAGCAGATGGAGGCCATTCGGGAGCCCCTGGTGCCTGACAGCCAAGTGCACATCATGATGCCGCCTCTGAACAGCGTGCGCAGCATTGCTGAGCGCATGAAGACCATGGGCGATAGAGTCGCCATATCGGCGAACCGGGAGGGCGAGATGACGATCAGAGTGACAAACGAGTTGGTGGATATCACGACGTTCTTCAGAGGGACTCGAGAATCTCTCGTACGATGCGTCGCAGGAGCCGTCGGCGAGCACGACGCCAGGGAGGGCGCCTGGGGACCATTTCACAGCGGTCGTGGACATGAAGAATTTTCTGCGCTTTTTGCAGAGCTACCACGTCGCACCCAAGAATATTGTGTGCTGCATTATTGAGCAGCATGCCGTGGTCTTTTACGTGTACATCGGCACCACTGGGTATGGCGTTGGCGCACTGAATGACCAGAACTGCGGGTCGCTCACGTACTTTGTGCCAGTTCGCCAGGTGTGATGGGGACTGGACGACTTTCCATCAGCCTGCCTAGTTTTGGAGTTGCTGCAGTTTCTGGGTACCTTTTTTTTTTGTCTCCGCTCTCATCTTAAAAATTTCATTTTTCCAGTCCAAATCCAAAAGGAACAAAAGTGAATTCGAACATGGCACAGTACCAGGGGCAGAATCCGCCGATGCGGGGGGCGTTTTCGCCGGTCGGTGAGCAGCAGTTCGCGGGCTACAACGACTATAACCAGCAGCAGCCGCACAGCAGCCGCAACAGCCAGCAGCAGCACCAGCAGCAGCACCAGCAATTCCAGACGGCCTCGCCCCCGAACGCCAACCAGCAGCCTGGGTTTGACAACCCGTACGGATTCTTCCCACCTGGCTTCCAGAACAACCAGGCGGCGCAGCTGGGAATGCAGTTCGCGGGCACAGCGATGAATGCAATGCAGGAGAATGTGCAGCAGAACGTGGGTCGGTACGTGAGCCTGGCACAGATGAAGCACTACTTCGATGTGACCAATATCTACGTGCTGGCCAAGCTGCGACTGCTTGCATTCCCGTGGCTACACAAGAACTGGCACCGTGCGGCGGAGCGCGACGCGACTGGCCAGGTGGTCGGGTTCAAGTCACCGCGCGACGACACAAACTCTCCGGATCTGTACATCCCCGTGATGAGCCTTGTTACGTATGTGATTACTATTGGCCTGATTATCGGCCGCACTGCTGACTTCAACCCTGAGGTCCTTGGGTACACGGCGAGCTCGGCCCTCGGCATCATTGTGTTTGAGGTGCTGCTGGTCAAAATGTTCTGCTACCTGCTGAATGTCGGCTCAGAGCTGCAGCTGCTGGACATCCTGGCCTTCAGCGGGTACAAGTTTGTCACCACCATTCCAGGTCGTGCTGCTCAAGCCTTGGGCGCCCTGGTGGATGACGTGGACGGTGTTCCTTGTATCTGGGCTTTGCGCTTGCGTTCTTTATGATCCGGTCGATGCGGTACGCGCTGATTCCAGACACCTCGTCGGCAACAGGCATCAACGTGCACCGGAAGCGGCGCATCCACTTCTTGTTCATCATCGCGATGATGCAGTTCCTGTACATCTGGATCCTGATGCTCTACAAGAGTCCACGTACCAAATAATTCTTCAAATAACATGCGAATCATTTATTACTTCAGTACACACTAGGCTGTTGATGGCCAGCCGTTGGTGGGCACGTAGTCTGTCAGAATGCGGCCAAGTGACGCACGCGCAATGTCTTCGTCCTGCACCTCCTCGTCGCTGGAGTCCTGAAGACGATGACGACGACGACATGCCGCTGATCGATCCCATCCGACTCGCTGCTGCTTCCCTCACCGTCGCTACTCTCCTCACCGTCGTGCATCTCCAGCTCACCGCCCGTGGGCGCATGGTGCTCGGTATCCAAAAACGACGAATACGCCGGATCCATCGAAAACATCGCTGCATCGTCTGCCACTGCCTCTTCCGGCAGCTCAAAGTCCTTCTTGACAATCATGCGTAGCAGTCTTTCCTCGGTCTGCAGTTTCCGCAGCTGGTCGGCCACTTCCGCATACAGGTCCTTCAGCAGCTTGTCCTCATGCTGCAGCTCGTACTGCAACACCAGGCGCATGTCATAGGGCGCACCAGGCCTGAGAGTCAGTAGTGCGAATCAGCGCTGGGTGCCGCCGCGCCGTGTTCGCCCGCCGGATCCCAGCGATTGATGGACTCCGCTGGCTCGGCCGTTTGGATTCATGGCTACAGCGCGCGGTGGCAGCTGCAGCGAAGCGCCCGGCGTCTGAGGCACTTCGCTGTGGTCTTCAAATAGGCCTGTGAAACTGGTGGCTGTCGGCGTCGTTGTCAATCTCCATTGCGTCGCCGATCACCTTGGCCGCCAGCATCGCAGCATCCGATGCAAGCGCTGGGATCCTCGGCTAGGATTCACCGGCTCAGCTGAGACATCGACCATTTCCTCGTCCTCCGAGGAAGAGGTCTCAGCAGCTGGCAGCTTTTCAGCAGGTGCCTCTGCAGCCACTGCGATAAGGACCTCTTCCTCGACAGGCGCCTCGTTGGCTGCACTCGTAGAAAGCTCCTCCTTAGGAATAGCCTCTTCAGCAGGGGCATCAGCGGCTGGTTTCTCGGACACAGCCTTTTCAGCGACGATGTCCTCTGCAATAACCTCTTCAGTCACTGTCTCTTCAGGTATGCTCTCGCTGGACTTCTCCACAGCAGCATGCTTAACCCTTTCCAACTGCAGCGGCGCAGGTGCCAAGCTGGACTTCTTTAGCTTTGCTGTTGTGATCTCGCCGTCCGCATTGCCCGCCACAGCTTCTCCCATCTTGCGCTTCCTCAGTGCCTCGCGCCTGGCCAAGATCTCGTTGATCATTCCAATGTCGAATTCAGGACCAGTCAATATCATCCAGCGCCAGACCGGCCTCCTTTGCGCGCTCCTCGGCGCTCTTCTTTTCCGCCCAGCAAACTGGTCTTTTTAATTTTAAGAATCAGCTTCTTCTCTGTCCGTCTCCTCTCGTGCTTCTGTTCGGCTGCCGCAGCTGCGGCTGCAGCCGCTGCCTGCCGCCCCACATCTGTCGTCAGATCAAACTCGTCGCCCGCCGCCTGCTCCTCCAGTAGCCGGTCCTCCTCAGCATCCTCTACATCCCCCGCCATCACATAGTCGCTGTCGCTGGAATGCACCTCTTCATCCTCTGCCTCCTGCCTCGTGCGACGAGAGCTGCGCCGCGTGCGCGTCAGGGCTCGACGCACCGGCTCCGAGTCCGACCCACTCGAGTCCAGATCAGAGTCGAAACCCGCCGTCCCGAATTGCTTGCATCAGGCGCTGCAGTGCGCGCTTGCGTGCTGGATTTGCCTTCTGCCGTGTCCTCATGCGCGAGGGCTCTGAGTCGGACGATATATCTGCAGGCTGCCTCCTGGGCCAGCTCGACGGCCTCCGTAGGCTGTCGAAGAGTACGTGCCTCCCGCGTGCGCGTCTTCGGCGATATCGATGTTGCAGGTGCCGCTTTGCCTCGTGTGCTGCTCCTGGTTGCGCGTGGCATTGCTGAAGAATGTTGTTAAATCGGTGCGTGGAAATGAAGTGAGAGAGCTGGCGAACGCGTCGAAACGTATTTTTCGTCCTTACACTGCGCCAGCCCAATGCAAAATCAAATCCTGGCACAATTATGCAAACTCCATAAGCCCAAGCGCTCATTGGCTGCGATTTGAATACCACGTGATATGCTTTGCTCTAGTGGCATCGGGCGCAATGGCGCAAGGTTCCTGAGATGGTGTGGTGTGGCATGAAATTTGGCTGCGCTTGCCTGGGAATACAGATGACATATCGTGTAGTGGGGCATATGCAGCATTGGTTCTAGCACATAATATCCGGCACTAAACACATGCGGAAGTCGCCTGATACTAGTGATGTAAACCAAGGGGTTTCATAAACGTCGTCTATATGCAATTTTGAAATCACATTCATTTGCTATTCCCACTGTTTGCAAAAGACAATGGATAATTATTTCATCCCTATATATCGCCCAGTCCCCATTCCTATTACAAAGCATGTATGAACTGTGTCAGATGGTGATATACTATGGCTGTCCTACAAGAATGATCATCTTGTAAGAACTCGCCGCAAGCAGTCAATTGCGACTGGAAAGCGGTAGGGCATATTGTGGATCTCTGACACACGAGCCACATACCTTATACATTCTCAAATGTTATGTCACAAGGTATCATTGCTACATCTAAATCAGCGACCGTATCGCTCTATCTCCTGCAGGCTGATAGATAATTACGCAATGTTTTCCATTGGTATTCTGTGGTAGTTATCGAGTGGGCCATTGGAAAGATATACAGGGCAGATGTAGGCTATACGTGCTAATATCTCACATGTCCTATTTAAACTGGCGATTGGACGGTTGCTGCAAAACGTTGGCGCACACAGCATGATTTGTAACTCGTTGCAGAGGCTCAAAGCGACCCCTTTTTTGACCTCTTTATTTTGGCGGAGAATATGCAGTATAAATTTTTTGGGTAAATATTTTTTTGGAAAGGACGTGTCTGCGGGGGTGGGTGAGACACGAGAGCTGCGGGCAGAACACAAGCAGCCGGTTGGTTGTGCTGGACTTGGGCATGATCCGGTTTACCCGGTGCAAGCGAAGCCGCCCTCGCACATAGGACAGGTGCACATGCGCTCCTCAGCCTTGCAGGCGACTGGCTCTGTGTAGTCGATCATAATTTATATGCAGGAGATGCAATATGGAAAAGGAAAGGCAAGTATAAACAGCGATATCTGCCCCTGCTGCTTGGACAAGAATGACCTTGCAAGAGAAGAAAGAGGTGAGGAATAGGCGAGGAAATTTACAGATGGGTGGCAGCCTGGTCGCTCTAAAAACTGGCAAGGTCGTCCATTCAATGGGATACCTCAAGTGAAACAGCCAGGGGGCGAAAGAGATGTGTAGAGGGAGAGAAAATGAGAAAGCGGAGAACGAGGTGTTTGGAGAAAAATTTCGAAATGTGTTATTTTTGATAGGATTCAGCCGCGGTTTCCCCTCCCCACTCCGGCTGGCTTTTAACGATATGAACCACAGCCATTCTCATCCCCTCACCACGGCCGCCAAAAAGTCCTTCACGAGGGGACTCTGAAGCCACAGCAGATATTTTTGGCTTGTTCATTCAGCCAGCCCAAACGAACACACTGGGACAATCGGCCATGCGCCTATTGACAGGTTTGCCAGCCTCGTCTATTCTTCTCAGCTCTCGCCCGTGTGGCAAAAATCCGGATCGCTTTCGCAAAATGCTGCTACTGTGTGCAAAAAAAAATAGATGGTACAAAATGCAAACCTTTCCCAACAAAATTTGTCGCAAATATATTGTCCATTCACGGGGAGGAGGGAGGGAGGAGGAAAGTAGGCAAATGTTGAGCTGGCTCTGCAGTTCCCAGAAGGAAAGCAAAGCGCTCCCTCCCCACCATTTCGTTATTTCTTGCTTCCAAGAAGCAATAGACAGTAGCCCCAGCTAGATTAACTCCAGGCTGCTGGGCTGGGTATTCAAAAAAGACACACAAGTTCAAGAGTCTAGAGGCAGCAGGTCGCCCAGCGACCGAGACAGCTGCCGCAGCTTCGAGTAGTAGTCGAGGCGTGCCCTGTAAGTCGTAATATACACACCCGAGTTGGCCGGCACCTCTGATTCGCGCTTGTCGATGATTTTGTGAGAGCACAGAATATCCAGGAACCGCTGGATCTCGGCCTTCGCCACATGTGGCGCGAAATGACGCCGCATCAGGTTGGTCTGCGAGATCCCGGGGTGCTCGAGAATCTGGACCTGTCAGCGTGCGCACCATATTCAAGAGCAATGCCATGTTGGCGCTGCCATTGAGGCTCTGGCCGAGATACGGCACGAGTTTGAGTGGCGGGTCGCCGACAGTCGTCATCCACTGGGCCTGATAGTATCTTTCCGAGACATACCGCTGGTCGGTGCAGCCCACCACCACCAGTCGCTTGCTGCTAACCAGCATGCCAACCAGTGTCTGGAGCGCAGAGCGTGACTGCAAAATGGTCCGCAGGTGCTCTGGCATATCCATGGTCGTTTTCTCAAACATCCTGCTGATGAGGCTCTGCAGCTCGCCCAAGGCCACACCCATGGCGCCAGTTTCATGCACGAGCATGGCCAGCGCCGAGAGAACCTTTTCCAGGATCTCTGGCGACAGCGCAAGATTGCCCCCATGCTGCTGGTCACCATCGACGTCCATGGGAGATGCCTCGGCAATCCGACGCGCGTAAATCAAAGTCGACAACGTGTAGATTTAGACGGCGCTGGAACCCTGCCATCGGACCAAACGGCGCGTCGGGTTTGGCCGAATATACTGGCCGCAGCCACAGCCGGCCTTGGGCAAACAATGACAGCGAGTACGCCGAGTCCGCTGGTGCCCAATGGTGGTCAGCCGTCGACAGCTCAGGCAGCTGCTGCGGCCCCTTGAGGAAGCTCGCAGGCAGATTTCCGTTCAGAACTGTGGCGAATCGTTCGGAGATGGCAAATCCGCGGCCAGGAGCCCTGCGCTCGATGCCGCCCTGCCCTGGCTGGCTATCGTCCACCTCACCAGCTGTGTGCGTTCCGGGCCGGGCTTCTGCAGCGCCAACGCGGGTAGCCCCCGACGTCTCATGCACGACGACGGTGCTGCCCACACTGGATTCCGCCTGTGTCTCGGACGGCCAAGTTATCGGCTCTGGGGCGTTATTGAAGACAAGCTTGGCTAGCCCGACCGACATTGCGTTGCTCGCAAGCTTGGTGATGGTAAAGGTGCGCTGGATATACTTGATGACCAGCTCCGACACGTACTTGTCCGGCAGCAGGAGCTTGTTGGCGAGGGACTCGTCGTACTCGTCGTTGGGCGTCAGCACCAGATTGGTAATTATCGCCCGCAGGCGAGTGCTAGAGACGTATCGATCCATGCATAGCCTGCCAATCTCGTCGATTGCAGTGTCATCGACGACCAGCACTGGGTTGGAGACCAGCTGATTGAAAGCCCGCCTCAGAACCCTGGCATTCAGGATGCGCACAACCGGATAGATGCTCTGCATCATGTCAATGTACACCAGCCTTGGGGTGTATGCGGAAACCGGCACCTTGACAGGCATGCCGTCATCTGAGAGCTGGAGATGCGTGGTTACTGGGTTCGACTCGTCCGCCAGGCACGACCAGCCCTGGCGCATCGTATACATGGTGTTTTTCGCCATGCGCAGCTGCTGGAAGGTGCTATGCATGTTTGATCCGCGCCGGAGGCTGTCCTCCGGGAACTCATACTTGAACCCGCTCTCCAGGACCGTGGGCTTTGCATCCTTGCTGACAATCACGTACCGCAGCTTGAACTCCTCAAGCGTCTCGGGCAAAAACTTCAGGTGGCTCTTGACGATCTTGACCTTCTCCTTTGCATGCTTCTGCCTCAGCATGCTCTTGAGCTTTTCCGACAAGTGCTCCTGGCCCGGCTCGTTGTCAGCCTGCGCCCTCCGCGCCAGCTCAGCCAGCTTGCTGGTACCTGTGCGCGCCATGTTCTGCAAGTACTCGAACAGATCCGGCTGTTGCTCATCGGCAACATCGACATAGTCGTAGTACAGCTTCTCCTTGTACTGCTCCAGAATCTCCAGCAGCGTATTCTTCTGCAGCAAATCGTGCAGGTAGTAGACCTCTTTGACAATGTCCCACTTTTCACGGTTGCTAGTGTCTGTCAGCTCACCCTTGCTGAGCGCATCGTCAAAGATATGCGGCCAGAGAGTCATCAGACACTCGCTGAGGCTGCGGTAATGGTCCCGATGCATCATGTTGCCCCACTGGTGACGCAGCCGCTCGGTGCGGTTGTTGACATCAAAGCGGTCGGGGAACACCTTGAGTGCAGGCATCAGCAGCACAGGCATCTTGTGCCGCTGCGCATAGCACTTAACCACAACGAACGTAAGGATAAGCAGGTGCTGGTCCTCGGCCGACCAGCGGCGACGCGGCGGTGCTGCCAGCGGAAGAATGGCCGGAGGCCGACTCAGGTCATTGAGCGGTGGGGGCGGCGTTCCCTTGGCCATGTTGATCTTGTTCATTTCACGCGCTGCGACGGTTGACGCGTCCTTCTTCAGGCTCTCCTCGAAATTCTTCCGATGTTTGATGTGGATGTTGCGCCTGAATCTGACCTCGACCTTGCGGAAGTACATGCGCGCTTCTGGCAGCGAGACACAGGCCTCCTTGGCTGCCCTCTTCAGCAGCTTCAGGTCAAACATGGGCGGCACCCTGCGATCCAGGTTGTTGACAAACCTGTCCAGCGTTTCGATCTGCGACCGATTCAGCTTCGACTGCTTGCGCCAGCATACCAGCGAGTTGATCCTGAACAGCGGATGGGATACGCTGATTTCATCGCCCTCATACTGCGACGAAGTCTGCAGCTCATCCCAGTACTGCAGGTTCTCCAGCATATCAAGCACGTTGTGCACGTTGTCGTTGAGGTAGTTTACAGACAGATCCTGTGACACAGGCTTGCCAGAGAACTTGTCGGTCTCCACGGCGCACCTGTAGCCCTTGCGGTTGAGCACGCGGGCCTTGCCAATCAGCTGGTACCCAATCGTGCTCTGGTTCTTTGACAGCAGCGGCGGATCCTTAAACACATCCTTAGCGTCGGCTGGCTCTCGGTCGCTTGTCAGGTCGGGCTCTCTCAGAATGGGCTGCACCAGCTGCAGGATGTACATCTGGTAGAGCATCCGCTGCACCAGAACACGCGACCGGTTGACCTTGCTCATGATCATAGCGATCAGATCCTGGGGCAGCTTGCCGATCGGCGTGTTCAGTCGCCTCGCCATCTCCTCAGACGTGCCTGGTACCAGTTCGTCTTCGTCTTCATCAGCGGCAGACAGGCGTGTCTCCCTCTGCTCCTCGGTTTCCTTCATAGATGTCTGGGTCGTCAAGGTCGGGCCGCACGATGCCGTAGCGCACATAGCGAATTGCAGCATGCGTATACCACGCGCCTTTGCACAGCTGGATATGCAGGCGAAGTGGCAGGGCATACAGCAGATACGGTATGCGGAAGATGTAGTTGGGATAGACGCGGATGTTGTCGATGCTGCGAGGCAGCTCCTTGATGAGGAACTGGTGAAGTGTCTGGAGCCGGACCATAGCGCCGCCCAGGTACTCCATCTCCTGCTTGACCTCCTCCCACGCTGGGTCCTTGCCTGTCCGGCCAGCCCGCATGTTCTCTCTCTTTGCGCGCTTGTAGAGCGGCTCGTCATCGCCGTCATCCCTGGAGTCATAAGCAACACCCGACTCGACCTCTGCTGCCAGACGCTTGAACCGCTTGCGACGAGTGGTGGCGACGGTGCTGCGGAACCTGGCCACACCTAGCTTGGCGTCGATGTACCGGCGGTCGCGCTCCTTTGAGCCGGTCGTGCGCTGCACAAGCGCCGAGTTTTCGACCAGTGGCGGCAGACGCAGCTTCAAGCCAGCGCTGTTGATGATCATACTGTCCTTCAAGGCCTCAATAAACGCGTCGACACGCTCCCCGTTCGGATCGATCTCCCAGGCAATTGCTAGGTGCGACAGCATCGGCAGATTGCGGCTCTTGTTCGGATTGGCAGCCACAGCCCTGTGGTGCACTCGCTGCTCGGACGCCAGCGTCGTGATGGTCCGCAGGAACGTGCGCTTGTCCATCTTGTAATTGACCATGGATGCAGCAACCGACGAGGTGATCTCTCCAGCCGCCTCGCGCTCGCGCACGTACAGGGACGCACGGTTCTGGCACGCCTTAATGGTGGATTTCGTGCAGCACACGATTCCCTTGTCCCTGAGCATCACCATGAGACACTCCTGTCGAAGAATCGCGTTGACGGACTTGGACTCCGTTTCAGCTATCCTCACAAGGTCTGGCATTGACAGATGCAAGCCAGAGTGAGCTGGTGCCACTGGATCCTTGCTAGCAGACACCTGGCTGTCAGCGTTTGTGGTCGGGGCTTCAATTTGCTCTTCAGGCATGACTTCTACATCAGCCTCCCTGTCTTTGCCTTTGGCCATATCCTTTCCAGCTGTGCTGGTTGTTGCAGATGCAGATACCAATGATTGCGGTCGCGCGCCATTATCCTCGGTCCCCAGATCAACCAGGAGCTGCGAGATCAGGCTGGTTGCCGCTGGGTTGGCAAAGTAGCGCTTCCGGTGCTCACGGCCCAGGAACTCGTCGACACTGGTAATCAGCATCTCTGTCTTTGGGATCTGTGTCGGGGCGTTGGCGCTGCCAGCTACCGCATATGTTCCCGGAAGCGATCCATCGCCGAGGACAATAGGCGACTTGACCAGCCGGTCAAACACGCGCACCAAGGTCTTGTAGTTGTGTTCCCGAAGAATGAACTGCACTGCCTTGGCCACTGTGCCCTGGGGCCCCGCGAGTGCTACAAGCCGGAACACTTGGCTCTCGAGCGACATCCCGCTCAGCATACCCATTCTCACTTGCGGCATCGACAGCAGGTGCTTGATATCCGCGTGCTCCTTGACCGCCTCAATGCCAGCCATCTCGTCGTCGTCATCGTCGTCGTCGTTCTCGTCAGATGCATGAGATACTGCCAGCGCCGCATCCTCGTCTTCATCCTCGTCGTCATTCTCGTCTTCATCTTGGCTGGTATGTCCGTCAGCTGGCACTGCTGTGCTGCCCGCCCTATCGTGCTCGCGCCTCCGCTTCAACGGCACGCCGACACTGGCCCGCGCCTTGCGCTTATCGACATACGGCTTGATGAATCGCACGCAGCGACGGAGCTCCAAGCCCATCCGCCGCGCCTTCTTCTGCCGAATCAGAGTCATTCGCTTTGCCTTGGCTGCCTTGATGCGGGCGCGCTCCTTCATCTCGGCATCGATATCCTCCTGGGGCTTTCTCTGGCGCACCTTGCCTCCGTCTGTCGTCGGGATCTCCCAGTACGTTGCCATGCTGGTTGGCACGCGAGGGAGGTGCTCGTCGGGAATCTCGTACTCGGCGTTTTTTATTTCCTCGTCGAGCAGGTCGCTCTGGACCCGCATGCGCACGCGCTCCAGGCACCCTATATCGGCCATGGCTCCAATCACTCGGTGGAAGTATTTGCGGTGCCGCCTGTCGTAAAAGTCCAGCCCGACAGCCTCTAGCAAGTCCATCTCGACCATGGATCCGCTCTCGCTCTGCTCCAGTATATCGGAGATGCGGTTGCGCAGCTTGAATCGGACAAGGTTAGAGACCATTTCCTCCGGCGCCCGTTCGTAGCCAGGATTCGGCAGCTTCTTCTTCACTGGGACCCCGTCGACAATCGTGATATGGTTCCTAGTTTTGCTTTCTTTCTTTGGCTTCTTAGCCGTCCCCAAGACGGCCGGCAGATTGCTGATCAGCTTCTCATGCACTGTCACGTACCGACGAAGGATGATCAGGTTGGTGTTCAGCCCTTCCTCGTACGCCGTGTACTTGGCCACCATGCCCTCCGCTTCCAGCACCTTGATGAAGTGGAACGACGACCGCGGATCCAGTCCGAGCTCCGTGCTCACTGTTATCTGCGTCACGCCCATTTCGCGTGCCCGTGCAACCAGCTCCAGGACCTTGAACGATTTGGGCGAATTCATCACCCTCGGAACTCCCTCCGGGCGCCCAAGCAGCTCGCGGTTGATCTCGGCATCACTCGCTCGGAGTGCAATGTCCGCAAACTGCGATGCGACCTGGGCGAAGGTCAGTGCCTGGAACTCCTTGCGCTTCTCGTCGTCGGCGGGGTCGAAGATGTGCTCGCTCTGGCCGTTGATGAATGTCAGCCCGTCCAGGCTGCTGATATACGGCCACAGATACTCTTTCATCTGGTCGCTAACTACCATGTTGTCGGCCGGCACCCCGCTGTCCTCGGCCATCTCGCGCTGCGCCTTTTCCACAAACGACCACACGCGATCGAGCGATGAGCCCCGCGTGCAGTCGAGCGTGATCTCACGTTTGACGGTCTCGAGTATCACGTCCATTGAGCAGAAGTCGCCTAAGCGCAAGCCCAAAGCGCAAGTTTAACTTTTTTGCAGCTGAGACCACAGTTTTGGCTCTAACACAACAGATATCTCTCTGAAACTCTACCTTCTTGTCAGCTAGACTGTGCGGTGTGCGTGTGTAAGTGTCGCTGAAAGCACGAATGGCGGTTACGTTCGTAATTGCGTTAGGATAGCGTATAGTCGCGATTTAGAAAAAAAAAAAAAAAAAGAGCTTCAGCGTAAAAAGAGAAAAATTCAAAGGATGGAAGGCGGCTGATGAGCTTCGAACCTGCGCCCACGGCCACTGAAAATTTTTCATTGGATAAGCTCACATAGATATTGGCACGTGACAGCCCACAACGCAGGGTCAGGGGAGCAAGAATCGGCTGGACAAAACCCCAGATTTTAATCGCGAGAATGCTACTGCGCATTGTTAGCTTTTTGGATCGCATACACTCTCAGCACGCACCCCAGCAAACGAATGGCGGCTGACGACCAATTCGATCTGTTCAGCGAAGTCACAGCTGAGGAGCAGGCGCAGCTCGATACACTGCAGAGCCACCGGCAACAGCAGCAGGCCGAGCGAGTCGAGAGCGGCAACACCGATGACCTCGACTTCCAGCGGCTACGCTACCGCATGTCCAGAGCAGGCCGTGGTAAACCAGACACTCTAAATGGACAGGTGCCAATAAACCTTGGCGAGGCATTTTCAAAATCGGAGCGCACTGAGATTTTGGATGCTGTGGCTGCGCATGTTGCAGCTAATGACTGGACACATGGCCGGCACAGCACCGTCCCAACCCGCGACATTCCCGTCAGAAATCTGCCTATTGGCGGCTGGTTGACAGAAAGGCTCAGAGTAGTTCTGTTCCCTGCGCTTGAGAAGCACACCCAGATTTCAGAACGGTACTGGGAGTTCCGGGACATCTTCATTATCGGGTACGATGCCAACCATCAGCGCGAGCTGGCGGTACACAGAGATGGATGTCTGGCCTCGCTGACCCTGCTGCTGAATGACCCAAGCGAATTCGAGGGCGGCGGCACGCTGTTCACTGACTTTGATCTGCATGTCAAGCAGCAGCCCGGCGACGCGTGGGTACACGACGCAAACCTGAACCACGCTGGGATTGCTATCACCAAAGGCCAGCGCATTATCATGGTGGCCTTCATGGACACCATCGGCGGCATGACCGATGTTCTTTCCGCAAACGAACCACCAGGATTCAGCTAGATCTATCAAGAAAGCGTTTTTATTATGATCGGATAGAGAAAAGAAACAAAGAATGCTATAACTTTAAGGAACTGCGTAGTTAGGAAAGGAAGTATACAGGATAGAGTTTACAGTGTCATGAATCGATACAGATCAGACATGGTACAGCGCGTGCAGCGGCCTAGCAGATGCAGCCGACGTTGCCTCCAGGCAGGCACTCGCAGGTTCCGACGTTGTGGCAGTCGCCAGGTCCGGGGTACGGCCACGAGACCTTGCCGTCGTGCGCCTTGACGCACTGGTCGTAGCTCTCATACTTGCTCCACTCGTATGCCGGCATGGCCTGGACGAGGGCTGATGCGCCGAGAATGACGCTGATAGTGGCAATGGCTGACGAGAACTTCATGGTAAACGAAGGATGGGTATAGTAGCAGCGAGAAGAGAAGAATAGTACTGAAGAGGAGTCCAATGGATGTTGGGAATACTTTACATACCTCGTCCAGGAACGCCAGCCTACAGCTTTTATACGCATTTTGGCGCGTTGTCTACGCAGTAAATTTTTTGTGCCGGGTGTCAGTCATGCGATGCCGAGACGTCTTCCGCAGAGACATTCTGTCCAGGCAATATTTGTTGGAGACAAGGCTATTCTGTCTGTCCGCACTCTTTATTCTTGGGATCGACACCGCGAATAAACAACGCCGGACGAGGTCTCCGCCACCCAACACACGACAAGAGTGGCCATTATCCTACTTCTCTCAGCAAGAGGGTGAGAAGAAACGTAAAATGAGGGACGGCGCTGCGGTATTTTTGGATTGTGGTGTGACCACTCTATTTTTACAAGCTCCACCACCGCCAATGCGCCTCTGCCTAGCTGGAGATGGGGAGCCACTACACCCTCCCGACCCTCTGCTACTGTATTGTGCATGGCGCTCTGCAGCCATTGCATTGTAGGGCAACAGGGGAATTCAGCGAAGCAGCGCATTGCTCTGAGCCACGCAAGGATTACGATGCCTGGAGACACAGGCGATACCCCCTGCATACCGGCTGCAGGTGGGAAACAGCAAAATGGAGCGTTACTTCACTGGCGTGACACGGCAGGGCCGGCAATTTTTAGAACGCGCTTGGACAATTGGCCGTCACAGAGAGTGGTCCTGCGGGTATTAATAGATACTGTGCGAGTTCAGCTCTTTGCTCCCCGTCTGCCATGACGAATGCGCGCCCAACTCCCTCGAATGCAGACTATACCTGCATGCTGGCATCTCCACTGTGCACAGATCCCAATTGAAGAATCAGCCCAAGGCTGATGCTAAGCCCAGGGGCTCCTGAAACACATTTGCCTTGCTACATAGCATGGGATGCCGAACCAATCTCTTTATTGGCAAAAATTGCTAACTGTTTGAGGGGATGTCTATCTTGTCGGACTCAGCAGACGCAGATGATGGAAGCCGTCGGGCTTGCACTCGCAGTAGCCAACGTTGTGGCAGTTGCCCTCGCCAGGATACGGCCAGTGGCCAGTGCCGTGCTCGGCAACGCACTTCTCGTAATCCTTGTTGTGGTTCTTGGCATTAGCAGGGACAGCCTGGACAACGGCGACCGGTACCAAGAATGACGCAGAGAGTGGCGATGGCAGACGAAAACTTCATGGTTAGCTTGCAAAGGACAGAAGGATCCAGAGTTGTAGTAACAGAGAAGGAATTGGGCGTGTAGCTCTACTGTTTCAATGCTGCTGTGTCGAGGCCGGCAGCTGGGTTTTTATATTGGTCTGCGCCTACTGACGGTGCACTGTGTTTAGCATGCCTTATTAACCAGATGGCTGCATGCGGCCACACATCTTCGCACTCGGAGACGCATATCTCGGGGAATTGTGCTGTGAAAGCGTTGTCCGCACATTCGATTAGCATCATAAAAATATTTGGTCGCTCTCTAGGCCTATTATTCCATCCATTTTTTTTTAGAATAAAGGCATACTGTTACTATTCCGATGAGAGATGCTCAGGCTGAAAGCAGTTTAGGCAATCAAATGCCCGATGATGGTCATCTGGGTTGCACGCTCACCTATTTTTACCAATGCTGTGTGCATCAATGGCCATTTTATCCAAGACTTGCGGGCAAGCTCTCGGTGTACATCTCTCATTTCGCTTGCATATGATTCTATTTTTTGATCGAGGAGGATCAGGGGACATCGACTGGATGGTCGCCCTAGTGCTGACATTGGCCACTGTCTGGTAGTGCCCAAGATGCACAACTCCTTGCACCAATGTACAGCCTAGATTATAGGGCTGCTGATGTTGACAAGACACGTAGTACCGATACAACCGCCTGTTTTTGCCCAATACACTAACCAGCTGCTAACCTTTTTGTGAAAGCATAGTGACAACATTTACACATCCAGTGATAGCTGGAGTGCAGTTCCTAACCACAGTGAATGTACAGCCAAGTTGATAACCAGGTATGCAGTATCACAGGCAGATGGAATGGCAAGTGCGACGATGAGTACTTCCTGAATAATACACTGGTCTCTTGGCTTGCAGGTCTTGGGCAGAATCAGCAAGGGCAAAACTAGCTTGAAAGTAACGACAACAACAGAAGCAGTGCTGCTCTCAGCTCATACCTGCAGGCTGGATAGTATTTAGGCTATACATGATATTTTGCACAAAATCCACATCTAGCATGCAATGCACGGGTTAACGATATGCAATTTTGTCCCAGAGTGCCTTGTGCATTGACTCAACGCATCGGCTGCAGCAGTAGGGCTCACAGCCTAGGCCAAAAGCGAACCTAGCAAAATGCTGTCGGGGATGAATGACACTATATGAAGCTTTTTCTGTAATCAAGTCCATGAATTTGAACATCGGTAAAAGGAGGCTGAGCAGAAAGTTTTCCGATTCATGTTCAGAGTTGTCTTTCTAGCTGCTGTTTTTGCAAAGGAGTAATCACCCCTCCACGCAAATGAAGATAGCCCAGTGAAGTGCTAAGAGTGGCTTCAGTGATATATAAACTGGATGACCTGCGGCGGAGGAAGGCAAGCGGCATCCGGTGTTATTCTGCCAGCAATATTTTGATTCTCGCATTTCCTCTTCCCAATCACTTGATAGTCCAAATTATGAAGTTTTCTGGTCGCTTTCGGGATTACTCTTGCAGCCACTGCTCTTGGCATCCCGCAACCCGGTTTGGATAAAGATACCCAACATACGGCTAGCCAAGCGCATTGTCGGTGGCAACGTAGCGCCTGTCAACAAGTACCCGTTTGCATCGATTATCAAGACTGTATATTCTGATGGCAGCCTGTCAAAATGCGGCGGCACTATTATCTCCAGGAACCACGTCGTTACCGCTGCCCACTGTGTTGTTCGAACTGCCAACTGGCGAGCGTGCAATTCCCAAGAACACCTATGTTGGTTATGGAAACAACGTGTATATCTCGCAGACCCTGGTTCCGTCGTGCAAAGTATTTGTGCACTCCCAGTACAACTCGAACCGGTTTGAAGAACGATATTGCCGTCCTGGAGCTCCCAGATCTGCCGCTTGATGGAGTCAGTGTGGCCGCAATCCCGGTGTACAAAGGCTCCCTCTTCCCTGGAATGTCTGCTACGGCAATCGGATGGGGCCTGACCAACATGCGACAGACCCTCGCAGTCCCGTCGTATCCGCTCAAGGAAGACTGAAGTCAAGATTGGCAGCATCGACCCATGCAAGACCCATGTCAAGAAGTACTTGCACGATACGTTCTATTCAAGCAACGGGCCCCGCATCTGCATCGAGCGCTCGCTAACGCTAGGCAATGGCACATGCTCTGGAGACTCAGGAAGTGCTCTTGTTGCTTTCGTAAATGGCAAGCCGTATTTTGCTGGTGTTGATAGCAATGGTGGAAGTTCAGAGGGCACCTTTTCATGTGGTGATGCTGGCGGATTTGACTTTTATATGAATACCAGCAGCTATCTTTCCTTCATTTATAGTGTCACCGGGCGCCTGGTTCTAAACCTAGTGCTAATAACCAGCCTTACTTTTTATGCAAGATACCAATTGCAATAATAGAGCAAACCATATATCCGTTAGCCTCTTTACATACCATTACGTCTACATAGCCATTCGTAAAAGATGTCGAAAAATCATCTCCCAACACTGGCCCATCAATGCCATTCGCTCTCTCTGTAACTCCATCTTCGCTGAAATACCAAATAATGTGTATTGGCTAGAACTAATGAAAACCGTGCTTAAATTGCGGTCGGAAACGGAGAACTAGTGAGTAATGGCGCATTTGAGAATGGCTAATTGTACTGTCAGCAATTGAAGAAATAAATGGATTGGGTAATGTGCAAGCCCAGCTAAGGAGCCCAAGAGATCATGTTGGCTGGATAGGCGCCTCCAAGCACATGGCGCATTGTAATTGAAAAGCAGCAGTAGCACTCTGGCTACGAACACAGCTTTTGAGAAATACATACTGGTGGCATGCTCGTGCGGCATTATGCTTTGCATGAGAAAGAGCTCAAAGAGTTCCTTTTTTGAGCTGCCCCACACGTTTTAGCCCGAAATTAGCCGATTACAAACTCCGCTACCAGGTACCTCGCGCGCTTGCCCATTGCTAGCCACAATGTCGATCCGTTGCCCATCACCACGCGCCCATCTTTGCTGGGTCAGTCTTTGTGGAAAGGCGAAGCAACTGGCCGTGCTTTTCTGCAAAAGACATGTAGGAACGCCTCGTGAACGGTTCTTTTTCTTTTTGCCACAGTGGTTGTGGTAAATCTACATTCGGCTTTATTTGTCTCAACGAAAATGATTTGCCATACATGCAAGACACTACAAGTCCAGGCTTGGGGCGCACTCAATAATATATAAGCAGCACACTTTGGCCAAGGACGGGGTGGAGGACCAAACAGCAATGGTCTACACGCAATAATTCAGCCACTAATACCTACTTTTTTTGGACGCCTAATTTTTCACTACAATCAGCCATGAAGTTCCTTGTTGCCACTGTTTTTGGAATCGGTCTAGCTACCAACTCCTTAGGGCTGCCACAGAGCAGCGCTAATCAAGATCCACACCATCACCTCTCCAAGCGCATCGTCGGTGGTGGTGTAGCACCGGCTGGCAAGTACAAGTTTGCCTCCATTGTAAAGAGATTTATCAGCACTGGGACTGGTATGTGTGGCAGCACCATCATTTCCAAGAACTTTGTTGTGACTGCTGGACACTGTATTGTCGACGACATCACCAATCAGATCAACACTCCTGAAAATATCTATATCGGATACGGCAGCAGCGAGTACAAAAAGCAGACCCTGGTGCAGGCAACCAAACTGTTTTTGCATCCGCAGTACGACATTTCCAAGTTCGAGAATGATATCGCTATTATTCAGGTTCCAGATCTGCCAGTAGACGGCGTCAGCGCATCCACGGTACCGCTGTACAAGGGGAGTCTCTATCCAGGGAATGGAAACTACAGCGATTGGATGGGGGTTGACCAACTACACAGACATAACCAGCCAGTCGCCAGGGAATCAAGGAGGCCGTTGTCAAAATCGGAAACACAAAGTCGTGCAAGTCGCATGTCAAGAAGTACCTGAACAGCACCTTTGACTCAAGCAATGGGCCACGTATCTGCCTTGAAGCTTCGCTGTCTCCAGGAAACGGACCGTGTAAAGGTGATTCCGGCGGCGCTCTGCTCGTAAATATGCATGGCAAACCATACTTTGCTGGCGTGTACAGCAATGGCGGAGCTGCAGATGGTGGCTATCACGTGCGGCCAACCAGGCGAGTTTGACTTTTATATGCACACCAAAAACTACGTATCTTTCATCCATGATGTTACTGGACTATGGCTCTGAAATAATAGTTCTGCCAAGCGACTCTTCAGCTATATCATACTCCATCTAATGTGATATTCACAAATATGTGTTCCATTATAAAGTCCAAATGCGCGTTGTCCATGTGGTGTACAGTGTTGGACAGATATGGCTGCAGACATTCGCTTAAGGACAGGGGATAGAGTTCCAAGCAGCACACCCTAGTTGATCCAGTTATGGACCAAGGCCAAGCATCGTGGTGCTATTGGCAGAATCCCTAAGAGGGAGCTCTGCTACCAAGGAAACACCAGACACCTAGCATTCGAACAGATCCCTACCAATTACCTTAACTCCCGTTACTCGCCTTACCCTTAACCACCATTTTGCTACGCCAGGACATGAAGCTTTCAATCGCCTTTGGATACTCTCTTGTCGCAGCCGCTCTTGGCATGCCCTACCCCAGCAGCGGTCCAGAACCAACCTCGGCAACTACACAAACGCATCGTCGGAGGAAGTACGGTGACACCCTGACACGTACAACTTTGCTGCTGCCATTTTCCTCATTTCATCGAAAAAATACTATCCATTGTGGTGGCATCATCCTCTCCGATGAATTCATCCTCACTGCCGCCGCATGCATTTACGATGATAGCGACAACCCGCATTCTCCTTCATCCCTTAATGTCGGTTACAGAGGCAGCAGTATCGGCTCGCAGACAATCGTGAATGCGCTTAGCTTCATTAAGCACTCCAAGCTTCGACATGGCCGCTCTTGAGAACAATGTCAGTCTCATCAAGGTTTCCAAGATGACGCTGGACAGTAGTAGTGCGGCTGACAGATGGGATGTACTCGGGGCCGGTTCAGTTCAGGTGATTCGGCGACCGCGATAGGCTGGGGCACAACCTATGACAGTCGAGCCCACTGCCACCTCACAGGACCTGAAGGAGGCCTAGCGTTTATATTGGACGGACGATAACACATGCAAAACCTTTGACCAGCAGTATATGAACGGATAAATTTACCTCTAGCAATGATGCTCTCATCTGCGTTGGACGACAGTAAGTTGGTGGGCAACAGGACCCATGCTATGGTGACATTGGGTCTCCTCTTGTACGTTACCACTGATGGAAAGACACATGCTGCTGGTATCTTTAGTAGCGGGTCTTGGTCCCAATGACGGTAGGGTCTGACTTTTATGCGAATATCCAAAAGTATGGACCATTCATCAGAAGCAAGGACCGATGGCTCTACGTAAGCTTCCGAGTAAACTCTGCGTTTTGTTAATGTGGCAGGTTAATGGGATGACTAAACCTGTTTGGCTGTGATTATGCATGCTAATGATATGCGACAGAGTGTTGGACCAAAGTATCTAATGGCATAGCCCCAAGTTTACTGATGGTAATGGCAACGTAACTTGCGGCTATTTTATATTATTTCGCAGACTGACGGTCATGCCTCGGTCTGCTGTAGCAGCCTGTTGGAGTCCAAGACATTCACAGATCATGGCTCTTGTTGTCACATGCTGTTCGCAAACGAGCATGTAGATGTGATAACAAGAAGAGTAGAGGAAGAGCCTTGCACGCCAAAAACAAAAAGACATTTGCTGCATACAAATATGACTTTACAAAGATGTTTTGCGAAAAGCAAAATCCCACATGGAATTCAAATTGCTGTGTCCCTAAAAGCTTTGTAAAGGTGCGCCATTGCCCCAGGCTCTTGCCAAGTCTGGTGTGCCAGCAGTTCAGTAGCATCCGTCCTGCGCAAAGGTTGTGACCAACCTCAAGCGTCCTGCATAGGGACTGCAGCTGGCAGGCATTACTGAGCATTCGCTAGAGTCTGATAGCATCTGAAAAAAGGATCCAAATCAGGGGTAGGAAAAATGGTGGTGGGAAGCAATGCTAGGCAGTCTCTGATTTTGAGATTCCCACATCCAGCGAGCATCACTTTCTTTGGTAGCTAAAGGTGTCCTTGAGGATCAGCGACAGCGGCAGGTTTTGTGCATAGGCGATAGTGCGGGTAGTGAGGCCCCTATTTTCACCCCATGCCTACGGGAGCCGCAAAGTGACATGGGTAGTTTTCCGTATACGCAGATTTGTAGTGTTTTCGTGAGGGAGCAGGCAAGTGTGTTGGCAACAGGAAACCCATTGGTCCGGCTCTTGTAGGCACGCTTGGAGCTGAAATGAGGCAAAATACAAACTCCGTTAATAAGGATAGCTGGCGCACTGACAGCCTACCAGCCACACCTATGAATGCACATCCCCGAGCCACACAGCTGCGGATAAAAACCAAGCACCGGGATTTTCTCTTTACAAAAGGATTCCCTCTACAAAGGCAATTCGGAACGATCCTTGCAAAAGTGCTCCTTTCTCCACCACACTCCTTGCGTTAAATGCAAAGATTCCATATTCCTGCAGGAAACGAAGAGGAAGGCGATCCTACCTCGGGCAATTTTTACTAGATTATTTTGCTGTGAAACAGCTCTAGCCATGGAGAAGTTGGTTCAAGGCGGTATATAAGGACTGGGTGTTGGGCATGAGGAGCAGAGATTATCAAACAACAGTCCATAGACGCCTAGCAACTACCTCTTCCCCCAAGCTATATTCGGCAATGAAACTCTCTACGCTCTTCGGAACCTGCCTCGTCGCCACCGCCTTTGGCCTACCCCAGCGCAACGAGCCTGGATACTCCGCAGCTGTCAAAGCGCATCATCGGTGGCAATATTGCGGCAGCTGGCAAGTACAAGTTTGCGTCAGTGATTAAGCTCGACATTGGCGGTCGCACTTACACTTGTGCTGGCACAATCATCACCAAGAACCACATTTTGACTGCTGGGCATTGCCTGGTGGGGGCTACAGGTACCGTCAACTCTCCACAGAACATCACGGCCGGCTACGGCAGCAATGTGTCTGAGCAGCAGACATTCCAGACGGCCACTAATGTGTTTTTGCACCCGCAGTACAACCCGTCGCGGTTCGAGAACGACATTGGCATCATCCAAGTCCCAGATATACCGCTGGACGGGGTCAAGGCATGTGCACTGCCCGTATACAGGGGCTGGCTGTACCCAGGCATGCCAGTCAGGTCCATCGGCTGGGGCATGACCAACTACACGGACTACTACAGCGTATCACCGGAGCTGAAGGAGGTCGTCATCAAGGTTGGCAATCCTGGCCCCATGCAAGTACCAGGTCGAGACGTACCTGCACAGCACGTTTCGATAACAGCAACGGGCCGCGCATCTGCATTGAGAATGCGCTGGTTCCCGACAACGGGCCGTGCAGCGGTGATTCGGGCAGTCCGCTGATTGCATACGATGGCAACAGGCCGTACTTTGCAGGCGTCATGAGCAACGGCGGCGGTGCGCACGGCGAAGCTACGTGTGCTGTGACCGGAGGCTTTGCCTTCTACACACACGTGCTGAACTACCTGAACTTCATTTACACCGTCACCGGGCGCTGGCTTTGAGCTGAACGAATGCTAGAGTGGACCCTGATATAAATCCGTTGTTTTAATTCCTGTTCCTTTAAATACACCCAACGCTTTCCTTTTCTTTGCTCTGGGCACAACACTTTTTTAACACTTTTTATGACTCGATGGTGTCGGCAGATGAGCTACAGAAGCGCGTAGAAACGCTACAGCGGCAGCTGCGCAAGGCCGGCGACCACTTGAAGCGGCTGGCAACGGAGAACGACACGCTTACAGAGCAGGTGGAGAAGTTCAATGAAAGCGAGGCGCAGCTAAAGACCGCACAGCAGGAGCTCGAGGAGAAGAATGCGCAGAATGCACAGCAGCTCGCCGATTCCAAACAGCAGCTCCACGCAGCACTGGAGGAGCGCGACCAGGCAGTCGCCAAGGCCGCAGAGCAGACAGCAAAGGACCGAACAGCTGGAGCACCAGCTTGCCGAAACACAAACAGACGGCGGTGATGAGCAGTGGAAGGCGGCGGCGCTGGAACTGGCCACAGCAGTTGGTGTGGCAGTGGATGAGGGCAGTCCGCAGATTCTGGAGCAGGTGCGGCAGCACTGGGAGGACAGTGCACAAGCACACAGGGTGATGATGCGCGTGTTAAGGAGCTGGACTGAGCAGATATCGAAAGCTGCAGGTTGAGGCAGATGCGAAGGCAGATGCAAAGGCAGAGCTCGAGGACAGGGTGCATGCGCAGGCGGAGATCGAGGCGGCGGTCGTGCGGGCGCTTGAGAACAGCTCGGAGGAACTAGCGGGAGTGCCTGAGACGATTCCGCAGGCGCAATTGAGCGGCTCCGCAGCGCACACGCAGCGCAGGCCGACGACCTGGCAGCGGCACGGGCGGAGGCAGCAGAGGCGGTAGGGGCGCGCGAAGAGCTGGGGCGCGACTACGACGAGCTGCTAGGGCGGATCGGCAAGATGAAGGACGGGCTCAAGGCCAAGATGAGTGCAGACTCGGAGCAGGTCAAGCGGCTGCGCGCAGAGCTGGCGCAGGCAAGAGGCAGCCGGCAATAGCAAAGGCAAAGGAGCTGGAGGGGGCACTGCAGCAGGCGAATGCACAGCTGGCAGCAACGAAGCAGGCGCTGTGGGACAGCCAGGAGGCGAGTGAGCGGGCGTCCAGTGACTTGTCAGCGCAGGCAGAGTCGGCCGAGCAGCGGGCGGCAGGAGCAGGCGGGGCAGCTAGCGGCAGCTGAGGCGCGGATGGCTGCGGAGGGCGAGGAGCGCGCACAGCTGGAGGCACGAGTGGAGCAGCTACAGACGGAGCTAAACCGGGCGCTGAACACGGAGGGGCAGTGGGCGGAGGAGCGCGAGCTGCATTTGGTGACGATCACGAACCTGCAAGGCGCGCTGGAGGACCTGCAGGCAGCACGCGACGCAGACGTGGACGTGGCAGTGGAGAAGCTGCGCGAGGAGGTACGTGCAGGAGCGCAGCAGGTGCGGGCGGCAGTGGCTCGAGCAGAGCAGGCCGAGCTGCGGCTCCGGCGAATTGAGCTGAGCGGGGCGACGGCAGAGCAGAGCCAGCAGAAGATCACCGAGCAGGCGGCGCTGGTGGAGAAGCTGCGGCATCGAGACGGTGGTGCTGAAGGAGCATCTAGGACGAGAGCATGCGGCGGCTGCGCGAGGAGAGCAACGACTTTAACCTGGACAAGCGCGTGATCACGAATCTGGTGGTTGGGTTCCTGGGGCTGCCGTATGGCGACTCGAAGCGGTTCGAAATCCTGCAGCTGATGTCCAGCATCCTGCAGTTCTCAGGAGGAGCAGCAGGAGAAGGTCGGGCTGATCCGCAAGGCTGGGCGACGGGCGCCCGCCGCCGTCCGTCATCGCAGTACGCCGCAGTCGCCGCAGTCGCCGGGCGAGACCAAGGACTCGTTCAGCGACCAGTGGATCTCGTTCCTGCTTCGGGAGTCCAGCCGTAACCGGTCCAACAACACATGACGTGGTGGGTAATATTTGAGCCGGCAGCATCTGCGGCGTGCGAACGACTGGCAATCCGCTCACACGGATGAGTGGCACTGCCCGGTTCCGCGCTGTCCCCGTGCACACACAGGAGCAGCCCCCTATCCTTAGCGGTCCTGCCCTTCCCTGTATCAGCCCCGCCGTGCATACAGGCACAGTAGCATAAATAGGGGGGGCATTTTTTCCCATGGCGTTGTTCTTCTCCTTCGCTAGACCACACTTCTTATAGCATATATACGACCGATACTTTTACACTTCAACCAAAAAATGGCACTCTCCCGCACCCTGCTGCAGCGCGTGGCCGCATCGCCGCTGCGTCTGCCGATGCAGACCCGCATGTACGCAAGCAAGTTTGCAAAGTACAACTGGGAAGACCCGCTGCTGCTTGACTCGCAGCTGACGGAGGACGAGAAGCTGGTGCGCGACTCGGCACACAGCTACGCGCAGGAGCGGCTTCTGCCGCGGGTGATCACGGCGACGCGCACGGAGACGTTCGACAAGAACATCATGCGGGAAGATGGGCGAGATGGGGTTCCTTGGCTCGACCATCGACGGATACGGGTGCGCCGGGGTATCGCACGTAGCGTACGGTCTGACGGCGCGCGAGGTGGAGCGCGTGGACTCGGGATACCGGTCGGCCATGAGCGTGCAGTCGTCTCTGGTGATGCACCCAATCAATGAATTTGGGTCGGAGATGCAGAAGGAGAAATATCTGCCGAAGCTGGCGTCGGGCGAGCTGATCGGGGCGTTTGGCCTGACGGAGCCGAACCACGGCAGCGACCCGGCGGGCATGGAGACGGTGGCGAAGCGCGACGGCTCGGTGTACCGGCTGTCGGGCAGCAAAATGTGGATCACCAACTCGCCAATTCGCCGACGTGTTTATTGTGTGGGCCAAGAACCAGGAGGAGAACGGCAAGATCCGCGGGTTCATTCTCGAGCGCTCAATGAAGGGGCTGAGCACGCCGGTGATTGACGGCAAGATGGCGCTGCGGGCGTCAATTACCGGCATGATCCAGATGGACGACGTCGAGGTGCCGGTGGAGAACATGCTGCCTGAGGTTTCGGGGCTGAAGGGCCCGTTCAGCTGCCTGAACAAGGCGCGCTACGGCATCGCGTGGGGCGTGCTGGGTGCGGCCGAGGCGTGTCTGACGGTGGCCCGCAACTACGCGCTCGACCGCAAGCAGTTTGGCGTGCCGCTGGCGCGGTTCCAGCTGGTGCAGGCGAAGCTGGCAGCAGCGCATAGCGAGATTGCGCTGGCGCAGCAGGCGTGCTTGCGCGTGGGCCGGCTGATCGAGGAAGGACCAGCTGGCAGTCGAGATGATCTCGCTGATTAAGCGCAACTCGTGCGTCAAGGCGCTTCGACATCAGCCGGCAGATGCGCGAGATCCTGGGCGGCAACGGCATCGTCGACGAGTTCCACATCATCCGCCACCTCAACAACCTCGAGGTCACCAACACGTACGAGGGCACCGGCGACATCCACCTGCTGACGCTGGGACGGGCCATCACCGGCATTGCGGCGTTCACTGCGAGCTGAGTAGCAGTCTTTATTTGACAGGTAATAGAAAAAATTCAAGCGGTCTTGTCCTCCAGCACAGCAGCCAGCTCACGCGCAGCATTGCGTACTGGCAGCGCCTGGTCGGCATGGCTGACCACCAGGATCTCGTCGCGGTAGGCGCGGGCGCGCGGCACCAGGTCCAGCGCCCGGATGCTCAGGTGGGTTGTGAGCAGATGCAGCACGTGCAGGAAGGTCAGGCGCGTGGTGGGCGACAGGTGGTTGGCGGCCACGGCCTCGGGGTTGGTGGTGCCGGAGCTGGTGAGGCGCACGTGGCCGAAGGCATCCGCCAGGCGTGCCACGCGGTCGCTGCGCTTCAGGCCGCTGCACTGCAAATAGCGGTCCATCAGGCGGCCCCACACGCCAGCCGACTGCGGGTCCCAAGTGCTGGCCAGACAGGCCTGCGTGAACGGCGCCGGGCGCAGCTGCATGAAGGCCAGGAAGGCGCTGGCATAGACGTCCAGCGTCGGCGAGCTGGCCGACAGGCACAGCAGCGGGCCCACCAGGTCCGCCCACACCCCGCTGGTGTGTGTGCTGGTGACCAGCGGCAGGATGTCGTCGGGGGCGGTCTTGGTCCACTCGCCCAGCGCGCGGATGGCCGGTGCACACCACTTCTCGCGCGAAATCAGCTTGACGACCAGCTCCACGGCATTGGCCTCCCTGAGCACCCGGCAGCACTCGCGCCCGCCGCCTGCCAGCTCGACAATCAGCCGCCGCCCGTATGTGGTCGCTGTGCGCGAGTTGCGCGACCCGGCGTACTCGATCGTCTGCCGCACCAGCTCCGGGTACTGCGTGGCCATTTTGGTCAGCCGCGCCAGCGAAATCGTGCATAGCCGCGCCAGCGTCGCGATGATGTTGTCGTAGTACAGGCTGCGCGCTGGCGTCTCCAGAAGCGCTGCGCTGGTGGCGAAAATCCCAGCCTTGTCCAATGCGTCCAGGCAGTTTGGGTTCTTGGACAGCCGCCGCACTGCATGCAGCACAAACACAATGTCCTGCTTCTGGTACCGCACCAGGTACTGCAGCACATTGCGCAGCACCGGCGATTCGCACAGCGGCACCTCCAGCGAGTCCCCCAGCGTCACGAAGCCGGTACAGCAGCCGGCTCGCCACCGCCAGCACCCCGCGCGTGTTCAGGTGCTGCCGGTCGGCCACCGCATCCGATATATTCGACGCAGACGAGAGTGACGATGCTGGCGACACGCACGCAGCGCCGTACTTGCCCACAACACGTCCCAGAGCCACGTGGACGCGCGCGTGCAGCAGCATGTCGGGGATGTCGTTGGGCGCCAGGCCCTCGCGCAGGAGAGTCATCGCTGACTAGCCCCACCAGCACCGTCAGCACCCGCACCACCTGCGCCCACCCGACATCCACGTCCACGTCGGCCAGTGCATCCAGCGCATCGCTCAGCGCCGTCACGCCGCCGCACGCCAGAAACGCGTGCGTCACCAACGCGTCCTTGTCGCGACACACACGGTCTGCCACACGCAGCGCCTCGCCGCGCAGCTCGTGGTCTGCAGTGAAGCTCGGCACGCCCTGCTGTGCCCGCATCTGCAGAATCGGCAGCACCAGCGGCAGCAGCCCGTGCAAGCACAGAGTCCGCAGGCTGCGCTTGTTGGCCTGGTGCAGCCGCAGCACCACCTGCAACAGGTGCCGCACCACCTGCGAGTTCGCTCGGTACTGGCTGATCGCCTCCACCACATACCGCAGGTGCCAGTCGGCGCTGCCCACCACCACCCCGTGGCCCTCGCGCAGCAGCGCATTCAGGCTGCGGCACCGCTGCACCACCGTGTCCTCTGCCAGCACCAGCTGGAACTCGTTGATGATGCCCGCCACCTCACGGATCCACTTCAGCTCCGCCTCGCGCTGCAGCCCGTGCTCCACCGTCTTGTTCTCGTAGATCCGGTCCAGTTCCGGCTGTCGGACCGCACTCTGTCGATCCACTGACGCCGACTGGTCACCTGACAGATCCGCTGTCTCCAGCGACAGCGAGCTGTACGTGCGCCCGCGTGTGCCCTCGCCCACCCCCCGCCGCCCCGTATCCACCGTCGACATCCGCCGCTGCACTAGCCCCAGCGACGGTCGCTTGGCTGCGCGCTGTGTTGTTGACGTCGAGTTACGCCGCCCTGCCGCTGTTCCCCCATATTCACCCTCCACAGGCACGTGCTCCTCGTCTTCGTCCTCCTCCGGTGTCCCAGGCACCTCAATCGCGTCCTGGCTGTGCGTCTGCGTCCGCCGCTTGCGCATGTTGGGCGATGGCGGACTGGTGTGCGCTCGCGCTGGTACGTGACTGCCTGTCTGCTGCCCAGTGCGCGGGTGCGTCACCGACCGCTCGGCCACCGGCGGTATTGCCTCCTCCCCCTGCATATCCGACGTAAAGCTCAGCGCATGCTGCCGCACTATCTCTGCAGCAGCGATTGGATTTGCCGCCGTGCTGTCTGCTATGTATGCCGGGATCTTGGGCCGCCGCTTGAACTGCAGGTCGTCCAGGTTCTCAAACGCATTGTCCCAGTCGTCGTCGCTGTTCTCCTCGTACTTTGCTATAGACGACACTGTGCGCTGCGCTGCACTCTCGGCCATATACGGCGCATAGTATGTCGACCCGGTCCCCAGCGGCGTGCTGCTCATCTGTCTGGCCGCCATCCCCTGCGACCCATGCCGCAGTGCATCCCGCGGCGACGACTTTGCCAGGGCTACGTGCCAGTCGGAAATGTACTTTACATTCGACTCGTAGTCCCCGTCCATCTTCATCATGTCCTGGCACCACCGGATCCACTGGTGGTTGGCCAGCTCCCGTGCCGACGACCGTCCGTCGGGCGCCCGATTAAGGCATTTCGACAAGAAATCCTGCAACGGCTACAAGGATAAATTCTCTCGCAATTTAGCCGCCTATTCCCCGGGCTATCGTAAAAAATGATCTGCTTTTTTCTCTTTCTACACATCCAGGCTCATTGGCTGCTGCGATCTACTCAACGGGTCTCCCCACACCGACCCCATGAGCAACATAAAGCCAGGATATCTGCCCGCAGACTCCCCCTTTGCCACAATACCAATGGCGACGGAGTGGAGGGGACGCAAAACGTGTTTTCGTTTGTTCTGCTCACCCCGCTGTTGTTGTCGCATAAGCTACGCAATACATCAATGCATGCAGCCTGGGTAGATCTCCCAATTGTGCCTTTTGCTCAATACATAACAAACCCGACTCACACCTCTTTATCAGCCAGTAACACAAAACCCCACTCAGCACAATACTTGCCTGCGAGATGTTGGACGGGTACGGCGGGTGCTCGTCGTTGCCGATTTTGAAGATTGCGCTGATGGGCGGTAGGTCCTCGTACGGTGCCTTGCCGTCCACTAGCTGGATGATCGTGCACCCCAGGCTCCAGATATCCGACGCGGCCGTCGCCCCGTTCAGCTGAATGACCTCTGGCGCAATCCAGTACGGCGACCCAACCACCGTCGCATTGCCGTTGTGGAACCGCGCCACGCCAAAGTCCGCCAGCTTCACCTTCCCCTCCTTGGTCGTCAGCAGGTTCGCCGGCTTGATGTCCCGGTGCACCACCGCATTGTCATGCAAGTATATCAGCCCAGACAGAATCTGTGCCACATAAACCCCCACCAGGTTCTCCGGCAGCTTCCCGAACTTGCGCAGTAGGTGCTGCAATGACCCGCCCTCGCAGTATTCCAGCACGATGCTCAGCTCGTTCTCCGACTGCTCGTACCCGACGTACTTCACTATGTTGGCGTGTCGCAGGCTCTTCAGCATGTCTATCTCCTTCAATGCCCCCTCCGCGTCCGACGTCGATGCAAACCCGTCAATGTGGAACTGCTTCACTGCCACCACCTCGCCTGTCCGCCAATTCAGGCCACGGTACACCGTTCCTGCCGACCCCCGCCCCAAGAGGTCGCCCAATTGCTACAAGGCATGGAGGAATTTTACTCTTTGCTGTTTCTGCTTTTTGCTGAATTTGGTGCCATTCACAAACACGCTTCGCTGTATGCTTACATATAAGCCTATCCGCCGCGGCTTGGCGACACTCATTTGTATGCTATGTATGTGTGTGGAGAGAACGTGCGCCTGTGCGTATGTGTGTGCAGAAAATAACTAAGGTGCCCAGAAGAAAACTATATACAAACCAAGACAACAACAACAACAAAAAATAAATCCAGAGGCAAGCAGAGTAGAAAGACTAGAGGGGACCAAAGACAAAAACAAAAAGCTTGGAACGAAATAAGGGGCAATCTTGCTCCACAGGTTATTTTCAAAAAATTTTTGAAGCTTGGCCAACTCGTTAAAGCGCCTGCACTCTTCCTGGGACAACAGAAACCCCATGCACGCGTATTGCCCGAGCGCATGTCTTTGTAACAACCCAAGGTCTGTGGGTGACATGGCCAGCCAGAGCCAATTGCTGTCCGCTAAATCGCTTCCTGGGAACTGCCAGACGTGGTCATCTGAGCTGCAGCAGACAGATTGCATTTGTATTCGGAAACTGTTTGTTGTCGTTCTGTGCGCCTTTGTGTCGTTTTTCTTATAGCTTAAGCATATGCAAGCGTCGCTGTTCGCGACTCCTCCATCTGTTGCGAGACACGCCCGGGGGATTGTGTCTCTGGATTATGCACTCAAAAATAGTACCATCTTGGTGTTACCAATCAAGCACACAGCGTCGCCCATTATCGGTGCTTGTTCAGTGCGGCCGGGTTCTTTATCATTAAAAAGGTCCGTTCATTCATGCCCAAAATTACCAAAACGGGCGCTATTGCCTTATGTGCCAGACACTCGGTGGATAATGCCGGTTTTGCATATCCATCCATATGTGTCGCGGACAACTCCCGGGCCGCCCACACTCCAGCCGTGGCTACTTTTTGACAAAAAAAGTAGCGGGGCTTACGTGTGGGAACAGGCTCTGTGCCCGCGGCACGTCCGAGCGCTCGCTATGTCTGTTGGAGTTCAGCAATAGTCTCCAAACGGGCTCCGTAAGTCGACTCGGCCCAGATTGAGCTGAATCTCCAGCGCGCTTTTCCTCTGTGGACCGGGTTCTGCGCGACCCAAGCCCCCGGACATGTTACGGGCGCACATCTCCCCCAATCCTGCACTTTTTCTCCTGTATATGCAGACGTGGCCGTTCCGCCTGCCAATTGTACATACCCAGATACTATACAGATGCACACAATTGCGTCGCCGTGCCCAGCCGCACTCTCTACTATTCGCGATGAAAAAAGGGGTGCGTGAGCAGAGCAGATTCTACTAGAACCGGTTTTTTCTGCAGCAAGAAGAAAAGCGGATCGGGGGCGGGCTTGACTTGCCAAGCTGGAGTGACCTCTGCATAGATAGTGCATGTATGCATATCTCAGCGCTTCAAGCTTCAATGTGCAGCGCTGTTTTTTTCCTACCAGGATCCTGCCTCGCATTTTTGTGCTGCTTATGAATGGAAAGTAAGCAGGAAGCAGGCGCAGTTTTGTTGTTTTGCTTTTATGGAGCAGTAATGCCCTATCGCGACGTTGTTCGCCTTCTAGTCTGCCGCCACACGACAGGACGATGCTAGCTCGATAGCTAATCAAAACAAGCGGCTGGAATTGTGCTCGGACAACAACAGCTGCGCACAATAGCCCAGTGCATAATTTGCTATGTCGCCAACAAGGCCCTCTGCTATATAACCCCAATACCCGCCCAACTCCGCTATGCCTTGTCCATGTAGTGGTTTCGCAAGCGGCTGAGTTTCAAATAATGGTCAGCAGCTAAATGTGGAAAAAGCACTATTTTTACCATCCTCGGCCCATTCGCAGGAAATGATCTTCAACCTGCTTTCCTCACCCACTCGCTGCTGTGCAGGGTGAGAGTTTGCCCGTCGCTGACTCGTCCAATGGTGGAGTGCTTCAAGGAAACCCGGGTTGGAGCGCCAACAATCGGCCGTGCTAGGTGCATGCCCGAGATTGGGTGTTTGCCATGTCGCATCCCGGATCGTTCGGGCGCACCCGTGGCGGGTATAAAAAGCAGCTCTCCAACGACCCGCCTGGTGTAACATCCCCTACTTATTTTTGCCCTTTTCTCCCAGCCTTTCCTTCCAAATCTCAATAAAAATAGACTTGCTGTGTACTCTGGTGACCTTCCCGGATAGTAACAAACTCACTCTACTTTTTTTTCCTCTTCACCCTTGTTCAGAGTCTAACTTTTCTTCTTCTTCTAGCTCCTCATATTCACTAGCTGCATCAGCGGCTGATATCCCAAACCCGTTTTGGCCTGCCCCGTCTGTGCTGTAGTGTCTTCCTAATTATCATTACCTCTTTTTCTTTCTTCACTATTTCTGTGTGCATTCAGGCATTTCCTTTTCACCATTTCTCATGTTCAACGACTTTGACCTGGCGTTCAACCCCGAGAGCGCATTGGCAGCCGCCCGTGCGACAAAATACAGCAGCCGGTCCGCAGACAGCGACGACGATAGCGACGCAGGAATCACCGATGACGACATGCCCATGAGCTCCAAGCTAGACCGGCGGATTCTGACCCGCATCGCCGCCTACGTCGGCTCCCAGCACGACCGCACATCCTTCTGCCTGGTGTGCCGGGACTGGGCGCTGGCCGGCGAGTCCAGCCTCTGGGCCTACCCCTCATTTGCGAGTCCTGAGCAGCTGGCACGCTTCCTGCGCACGGTGGCCGAGAAGCCCAATGTGTTTGCGCCGCGCATCCGCGGGCTGCGGTTCACGCTGGACACGCAGTACGACCGGCATCTGGCGCTCGACTGCCGCCGCGAGTCGGGCGAGATCGAGCAGGCGACGGTTCTGGAGCTGGCAAGCGGCGGCCACGTATTGTCACCGTCGGCAGCCGTGCTGCGTGCGCTGCTGCATGGCTCGGATCTGATGCAGCCGGCGCTGCCGCTGCGGTTCGCCCGGATGCTGGCGCCTGTGGACAGCCTGAGTCTGTACGGATACAAGCTGAAAGACAAGCATATCGTCAATGACCTGATGCGCTGGCATCTGCGCGACCTGTCGATTGTCGGCATGCCGCGCCGGCCCCTGGCCAACCTCGGATATCTGCTGTACAACCTGCGCACGCTGCGTGGCTTGCGGCTGGAGAGCGACTCGGCTCTGCCGGCTGATATCTGGGGGCCCCTGGCGATTCGCCTGCCGACATTGCAGCGTCTGCGCATCTGCGCGCCGGGCATTCGCGGCGCCCAGCTGGTGAATGCTGCGGGCCGTGTGCCAACAGGCCTGCGTGTGTTCCATATGGTGGGCAAAGACAATGATGCTGGCGACGAGCTGGTCGAGTTCATACTGCGGGGCTCGGCTGCAACCCTGCAGTCGCTGGTCGTGCATTCGGCCAACATCACTGCCCGGTCAGCCATCATGGCCATGGCCCTGTGCCCGAGGCTGACGCACCTGGAGTTGGTACGCGATGCGCCTGAGAGTGTGGGTGATGTGCCGCAGGATCTGTCTGTCAGCGCCTCGCAGCTGCATACGTTGTGCTTGCGTAATCTGGCCATTCCCGACCAGCTCGTCCAGGCAGCCGCCTCCACCATCACATCTCTCCACACTCTCCACATTTCTGGTGCCCCCAGCCTGACAGGTGCTCCGCTGGGCGCCCTCCTGGCAGCATCGACAGTGCTGGTCGCACTTGGGCTCCGCAACAACCCACTGGTCGGCGACGAGGCCATGGCTGGGCTTGCCCAGAGCCCCAGTGCTGCCAATCTGCAGGCGCTGCTGGTCGAACAGTGCGGCGTGCAGTCGGCTGGCATTGAGCAGGCGATTCCGTTCCTGCCCAGCGTCAAGCGACTGGCGGTCATGGGCACCGAGGTTGTGCACCACAAGTACCAGTACACTGTTGACGCCAGCAGCGTGCCGGACATAGATGGCCAGCCGCAGCGCGTCGAGGTATCGCGCCACTTCGTCCCCACATACCCACCCGGCCACTTTTCTGCCGACAGCACATCGGCAGAGATTCCGCCATTTTCGTGGGCCGACACCACAGATGCGTATATTCCCGGGCTCCTGGTGCCGGCTGTGACCGAGCAGGCGGGCCGTGCGGGCCGTCGTCGCAACACCGTATCGGCAGAGGAGCCCCGCGACATGGACGGTGAGCCCGTGCGCAGGCTGAGGAGCATCTCCGACCAGCCGGTGTCAGTCATGCCGATTATTGTGCCGGACAGTGAGGTCATCACACGCAGTCCCGTGTCAGCCGAGCTTTATGTGCCTGAGCAGATGGACCGGGTCGATGTCAACGAGGTCATGGAACGCCATATTCAGGCCGGCGCTGCTGACGAGGTGAGTCAGGAGGAGTCCAAATCGGGCATTGCCGCTGCTACGGCTGCTGCCGCCATTGCTGCTGCTGCTGCCGCCACTATTTTCACTGGCATCAAGACCGAGGATGCTCCGGTGGATGGGGAGGAGTCAGTCAGCCGCGATATCTCTGAGGCAATCAGCACGCCGTTTGCCGACGTCAGCGAGCCCATCGAGGCAAGCGCTGAGGCTGAAGAGACCGGCGAGCCAGTGGCTACTGAAACTACCGAGGCACCACCTGCTGCTGAGGCAGATTCAGCGACACAAGACATCCCTGGTGCAGCAGATACTTCGGATAAGGCTGCCGATGTGCCGACGCTCAGTGTTCAGGATGCGGCCAATGTTTCCGATGATGCTGTCGAGGATGTCCGCACTGGCGCAGAGTCTGCTACCACTGAGTCGGTGCTCAATGCGGTTCCGACCGAGGAGCAGGTTTCTGATATTCCGGCAGAGTCGGTGGCTGAAGAGCCGCCTATTGCGTCGCGCGATATCCCTGCCCAGATGGATTCTGCGGACGAAGCCGATGTTTCGGTGCCCGCAGCTGAGGAGATCCTTGCTGGCACATCGTCTGAAGAGCAGATTGCTGATGATGATCCGGCTGTGTCTGATATCCAAGAAAAGCCTGCGGCTGAAGATTCTCTTAAGGAGACTCGTGATGCTGCTATCCCAGCAAATGCTTCCGGCGAGGCTGAGGTTCCTGCCGAGGTTCCTGCCGAAGCAGCACTTACTGGCCCCGCAGATACTTCGTTTGAGGAGCAGACTATCAAGGGT